TAACTCGACGTTTATGTGAGTATTTAGAGACTACAACAGTCTCTACCGATAGTCAATCATGCTTTCGAAAGGGGTGTTTACCATAGAACCCTTACAACGCTGGGCTAACGTATGTTGTTAATGCTCTTTTCCGAATAATCACTCAGTTATTGCATTTTTTTGACCTGCGAAGATATGACACAACTTGGAGGTATATATTTTGGCCCCGCGCCCATTCTAGGCATCCGAGTCAATCTACATCTTCCTAAAGAATTTTTAACGACAGACTTTCCGTGTTCGAGTGTAAATAATGTCTTTCCGGACTTGGTCCAGCTGGAGGTGTCCCTCAGGGATGTGTTCTAAGGCACAACACTTTTTCTCGTCTATAATGATTTGGACTGCTGTTCTTCCACCAATATTTGGTCTTACTCTTTGTTGATGAGGAAGTCTTCGCTATTTGCTTGTGCAGGCTGACTGTCCCTTATTGCAGTATCTCTCCCGATGCGGTCGACGTGTTTCCACATGGGCCACACACATGGGTTAAAATTTTCAAGTACCAAAACTCACCAAATTACTTTTCATGACGCTTGTTATCTCCGATATCATTTGTCTTCTATGGCTCGTATCCCGAAGAGATACGCTCGGGTTTCTAGGCCCTTCTCTTTGACGTTGGTTAACTGGAAACCTCAATTACTCTTGACGGCAACTTAGTCCCAGCGGCTAAACCTTCTTAAAAACCCTGCTCATGCTTTCTGGGGAGTGATCGTTTCGACCACTGCTTCGCTACATTCAGCCTGTTTTATCGAATAGATTATGGTGACCAGATTTATTCCCGCGGCCTTCTGCTACCTTCTCTAGCCTTAATCTATCCTACAGGCTTACGTTTGTTTGACTTGTGCTTTTCGCTCTTCTGTTGAGAGCTTAAACAGAAGAAATGTTCCTCTTGTTGATCGCCGTGCTTGGCCCATTGCCTTGTTTATCTGTACGCTACTCACGATATACACAATCTTCATTTATAGATTGGTCACCGAAATTAGTAGAAATTCTTTATTCGTTTCGCGCCCTGTTTGCTCCGTCCCTTTTCTCTCGCCTACTTTCACGCTGGTTTCCTTCAGTTACCACCTTTCATGTTCACTGTAGATCTCACTTTTACTACCCTGGGAAGTTCCAGTGTTGGGTTGTTTCTTTTCACTCTTGCTCGAAAGCTCACTGCTACGGTGGATTCGCTCTCTTTTTCTTGATCACTCTCTTACTACCATCTCATGGCCACTCTGTGTACACAGATGGCTCTACGTCTTCAGACGCGTCGATTCGACGCAGTGTTTCCGGCAGCGTGTAGAGGGATTTACTATCTTCAGCTAGTTTTTTACTGCTGAACTGTATGCATTATTGCAGCACTTATTGTATGCATCTATGCCTGAGTCATCATTTGTTGTTTGATCTCAGACTCCTTAGTGCTGTACAGGCTATACGAAAATTTGTACATCTCATCCCCTAGTTTACGTATCATCTTTGGCTACGCGTTACTCTACCAAACAAAGATTATTGTTTTTTGTTGGGTCCTGGTCATGTCGACGTACAGGGCAAGAAAGGAGACATGCTGCGCGGGTCCGCAGTATATGACCTACCAATTTTCCTATGAGGTGTTCATTTTGGGATATTTTGCTGCATAGTACCCACTTCGCACCCGTTGGCAAAACGTTGGTTCACTCTGTCGGTAACAAACTTCATTCTATTAAACGATGATAGGTTACTGGCCGTTTCTTTGTTTCATCAGTGCGAGGTTTAGGGGACCACATCTCTCCCGCCTTCGCATTGGCACACTAGGTCTTATATGGGTATCACATGGAGAGGCACTTTTCCTCTCTGTGAGCACGGTGTCAAGTACCAGGTATCGATTAGCCACATTTCTGCTCTAGGACTGAATCTTATCAACGAGCACGCAGAATTTACCTCCAACGTCGTCTTCGTTTATACTCTCTCTTTACTTCCCTCTTGTGATGGACCCTCCTTTACTCCTGACTCCTTCATTGACTTCTTGACAACGACTGATTTACTCCACAAACTCTGATGTACTTTTCGCACTCCTCAGCCCTTTTGGCTTCAGTCTTTGCTGCCCTTTACCCCTTTCACCATTCCATGCCGTGTTATCCGTAAACCTGTTGCTTCATCATCGCTTTTGCCAGGCTGCCCTCGCCACTTCCTTTGCCCTGCAGCGCTGTATAGTCTTGTGGCTTGGCGCTTTTTTTGATTCTATACTAATAATGTAAGCTAGTCTCCAATCCTTTATTGCTTTGCAAGCTATTAAAAAAATTTGATCTGCCTATCCCTAGTTCTTCATATACACTGGTTATGCTGCCATTATGAAAAATAAAAAAAAATTCCTTTTGTTGGGTCTGGTCAAGTTGATTAGGAGGACTGCTGTGTGATTGCCGGTACATGACCTACCAGTTCCATTCTCTATTTGCTGTATCATTACCCACCTTCAATTGTTGGCGACAGTTTGATGTAATTTATGAGGACATCAGGCCAAAGTTTGGGTTTTGGGCGCTTTGTATAAGATAGCGGTAGGGAGCCACACACTCGTCTACTCGTGGAAAGGGCTCTTTTCTGTTTGTTTCATATTTATTGCGACTTCCTGTCCTATCAACAAGCATGTAGAATTTTCCTCGTCATCCCTACCCTTACTTTATTTTCCTCTTGCTGGCAGATCACCTTTGAAAGACACCCTCTGACTTTTTGGAACAGCAACTGAAATTTGTTTTTACCTTTGATACTCCTACCTTTTTGCACTCCTCGCAGCCAGCCCCTCGAACCTTACCTTTGGCATTGCCCTTATTTATCATTTCATGTAGCCTTGTGGCTTAGCATTTTTTGATGATTTTTTTTTTCAACAAAGTCGGCGTTCCCACGAGGAGGGGACCCAAAAAAGAAGACAAATCCCAAAAGAAAATACTTTCAATATTCAAACTTTCACCACATACCTTATCTGTTTTTGACAGAGGTGTCAGACTACAACAGTTGGGAAAGCATATACATATAAAGCTACACCAACAAATCCTCAAAACTGCCAATCATCCCATACCCTCCTTTAAATGCAGGCATTGTAATTCCATTCCAGGATCGCAAGTGTCGGACTATATGAAAATAACCGGTTTCCCTGAATCCCTTTCACTAAATTACCCTGCTCACACTTCTCCAGTTATCAGGGTCCACGTACCATTCACTCTATCAATGTTCCGCAGCTTGCGGAAAGTCCAAGCCCCTGCCACAAACCTCTTTCCCACCCTCTCTCAACCCTTTCGAGGTTGACCCCTACCCGCTTCCTTCCCTATAGATTTATAAGCTTTCCATGTCATTCTACTTTGATCCATTCTCTCTAAATGACCAAACCACATCAACAACCCCTCTTCTGCCCTCTTGACTAATACTTTTATTAACTCCACACCTTTTCCTAATTTCCACACTCCGAATTTTCTGCATAATATTTACACCACACATTGCCCTTAAACAGGACATCTCCACTGCCTCCAACCATCTCCTCGCTGCTGCATTTACCACCCAAGCTTCACACCCATATAAGAGTGTTGGTATTACTATACTTTCATACATTCCCTTCTTTGCCTCCATAGATAGCGTTTTTTGACTCCACATATACCTCAACGCACCACTCGCCTTTTTTCCCTCATCAATTCTATGATTAACCTCATCCTTCATAAATCCATCCGCCGACACATCAACTCCCAAGTATCTGAAAACATTCACTTGTTCCGTACTACTCCTCCCCAATTTGATATCCAATTTTTCTTTATCTAAATCATCATCATAATAAATAATCATAGCCTCCCCCCCCTAGCCTGCAGTGCTATATGACCCTAGTGGGTTTAGTATTTTTTTTTTTATACTTACTCTAATAGAAGTATAACTTCCATGGGGAAGTGTAAAAATTCCTCTTAACTCAAGCATGTCAAAAGAGGAGACTACAATGCTGGGAGTGTGGGGCTAGTGACCTAAATAAAAGAACTTTAGGTCACCCTGCCTGTGGGATTGGGCTGGTTCATTGAGAAATCTGTGGCAGCAGTGACTATAATGGCACCTGTTCTGATGTTTGGCCTTAGCCAAATGCACACCTTCCCCAGACAGTATTACTACAATCAAAACTAAGCACTAAACCCACAAGGGTCATACAGTGGTGCTCCCCAGATAGTAGAAAGCAATAGAAGACCACCAGATTGATCCAGCAGGGCTGGGATTGGATCCCTTGTTTGACCTCTATCTCTACCCATGAACCCCTCAAGGGAGGTTCCTTGATGGTAGTGAGTGGTTCTTGATCTAGGGAATTGTATCTGTGCTCCAGTTCCTAGAGTCAAGCCTGAACGCTTTCCATTACCCCCTTCCCATTGGCGTTTTATAATCCTACGGGTTTAATGGTCCTCCACGATTATAATACTCTACCCATGAAGTACTATCTACCAAAGGGCTGCAGCTCTGCAAAAACTGCCCAGTGTTTAGTTTAGCCTCTAAATATTGTGGCCACCCTCTAGGTGACAAAGCCTACCCAGCACAGCCACAATGAAAACTAATCCCCTACCATGCAAAATGATTAAGTGCTAAACCATGCACATAAAGCTACTGTCGTCAAATAAATGTTGTAAAACGAGATTTTACAATGCTGCAGCCCTTGATGTTGGTGAGGGGCTCTTGATTTAGGGAATTGGATCTGTGCTCCAGTTCCCCGAATTAAGCCTGAATGCCTTCCACATCCCCCCCCCCCAGGCGCTGTATAATCCTCCGGATTTAGCACTTCCCCCTTGATTATAATAATAATAATGCTGCTGCAGTGTGATAACCGAGCAGGCTAAAGATAAAACATGGTATTTGATTATATTATAGCAGAGTGATATCCAGTATATAAATCAGATTTATTTGCAGACATTTCTAATTTTGTCAATCACTCAAAAAATCATATATTTTATTAACATTATTCTGACAACACCAACAAGGTATGAATCAAACTCAGATTATTGGTTTTCAAATAGTAATTTCAATAGGAACATCCAGCAATCAGGAAAATGCACAACTTTCCGAGTAATATAAAATCAGCCTACCATGTTACAACCAAAAAGTTTAAAAATAATTTTGATTTTACAAGTACAGTATAGTGTACATATTAGCAACATTGATACCACTGCCATATTAGTACAGGTTCAACATTAAACACTTTCACCATGATCTTTTACATTGTATAATTAGTAAGATACTGTACTAAATTATCATACTTGAAATTAGCCACCAAATTTGCATGGGTCATACAGTGCTAAGGTGGTTTAAGTTGGGTGTTGAGGGTTAATGAAGGTGTAAAATTATCAGAGTGGGTGGAAGAGATTAACTTTTGCATTAAATCAGTATCAAAAGTGGGACTTTGGATGAGGGCTGTCAAGACAGAGGAGTTGAAAGCAAATACTGTATGCTATGATAGAAAGTACTGATATATGATACTAAATATAAACCCATTTACAAGTGTTTTGGCTTAAGGTAAACTACTCACTTGTGTGTCATGTTTCACAAAATTATTTTCAAATTTGTATAGAGTAAACCATACCCCCGGCCGGGATTGAACCCGCGGTCATAGAGTCTCAAAACTCCAGCCCGTCGCGTTAGCCACTAGACCAGCTAGCCACAATAAGATTCCTCCAACTAGGTATATTTCTACACCATAGGAAGGTTAGCACAGGCACCTCTGTGACCACAAATGCAAGTTTTTACAGACGAATCTCCAGCTAGCGTGGCCGTGACGAACTCTGGCTCAAGTCCCTTCACTGCCGTCAACATGACTTAAGAAATCGTAATGACGCGATTGCAAACAAACCATACTCTATGACCGCTGGTTCAATCCCGGCCGGGGGTATGGTTTGTTTGCAATCGTGTCATTACGATTTCTTAAGTCTTGTATAGAGTACCTTAAAAACAAAGCCATTATAAAAGAAATCAGTAAATAATGCTTTCACCATTTCCAACCCTTGTTTCACCTGCAAGCACGTTAAAGTCATACTTATATGCAAACTTTGTTCTTTATAGTACAGTAGTACAAACTCTTGCTCACAAAATACCAAGCAGTGTAAAGCTTCTGCATATTTAACTGTGTTTATCTGCATAAAATTACACAGCAACTACACACACACAATTTTATACCTGTAATAAGAAGCACTTTTGCTCAGCTGAAACAACTGCGCCATCAGTTATTGTCAACTATGGTACATGCCAAATGTGAAATTGTTACCCAGGGGCATCCTGCCTGCTCACACCTATGAAAGAAGCCATAAAAAAAAACGCTTCCAAAACTCCATCTTACCAAGAACATTTGCTCTGACTAAGCCTTAATGATGTTGCATTCAATTTTATAGCCATTTAAAGGATAGGACAAGTCATTATGTACTCAAAAGTGGCACCTAAATAAAATGACAAATGCTGCAATGATCAATTAATTTTCAGTGTTAAATGTCCAAGTACAGTAGTACCCAGAGTTTTGTACATAACTCATTCCAGAAGGCTGTACGAGTGCCGTCACTGAACGAATTTATTCCCACAAGGAATAATGTAAATTAGATTAAGTCTGTTTCAGACCCCCAAAAATATACTTACACTTATATAATTGTTCGAGTTGGGAGCAGTACGAAACTTGGGGTACCACTGTACTTTACCTAAATTTTGATAATTGCATATAGTATTTCTACTCTCATTTTTCCCTAAGATCAAGTCCGCTTATAAAAATTCTTGTATTAAATTTAATGAAGATACATTTTTTTTTTTTTTTTTTGACTGATATGCCACACAAAGACGCCAAGGCGTTGACCACCTAATTTATAATCTAGTCAATACAAAACTGTCAGTTAAAAACCTTTAAAGGGAATTCTTTGATGATATACCCTTGATCCATGAAATTCAAGCTACCCTCCTTTTCCTTGGATTAAACTTCATTGCCTCCCATTACTCAGGCACTGTATGAGCCCTGTGGGGTTAACACTTCCTTAAGAATACTGTAATAATTCTAATTTAAAAGTAGAACAAAATATCAGACAATAGCAGAGCTTTGATTAATAATGGGTCGAGTGCTTCCAAATGAATAATATATCACTAATCTAAAAAAATATGCTCTCAGAAATAACCTTTTTACAAAAATGTCTGAATATTAGTAACAATATACATCACAGAAAAACACACACTGTAATTACCAAATTAATTTTTCAGGGAAGCTAAGGGAAAGTGTGTTCCATTTCCTGGTCCACTAAACTTTTGAACTGATCAAAATGCCTGTTATATTGAATTTTGAACCTCGGGCATCCCTCATTTACCACTTATACTATATTTAAAAGTGTTTCTGGCTATCCATGTGGTTGTAATTTTCTACTGCTTGTTTTTTTTCTTCCCTTGAAAAGGCTGATTATTTTGAATTAACCCAGTTCTCTGTAATCATTTATGCATGTGTGAAAGATGATTTTTTTTTGTAATAAAACTAAATTATAGTTTTAAGATCAATTTAGTTCATGATGAATGTGCTAAACAGAAATTTACGAGGTATGAAATTGCATAAATCAAACTATTACCCTACACTGTACGAAGCATCTTCTCATTAATAACTTAACGTTATTTCAAGGGATATATTTCAAGTTTATTCATGAATTACTACCCACTTTCTAATCCAGTATGTTGGAAAATAAAATCTGTTTTGTTACATATGGCACTCATTTTATACTTTTGGTGCACCATTTGTTTGTCCATAATAAATGCATTTGTCCATATCACTTGTGCAAGACCAATACACGAGGCTTCAATTATGAAATTGTTCTGGACTACTTTACATAAAGTATGAAAAGCTATATATTCTTACAAAGTGGAACAGTCAAACAATCTTTAAGGTTTAATATACAAGTATTATCTATTGATACTCCAAAACCAATATGTAGATACCTTTAGCATTATCATGAATCATGGAATACCCAAAGAAATAATGAAGCACTAACTCTAAATATCCCACCCACTAAATTCCAACCCCTCACAGCCTGTAATACCTTGAAGCTCACTTCATGAGTGCATGGACCACTGCTTTAGCATCCAATTTGCGGAGATCTGTGTAAGTCTGGCCTGTACCGACAAACACAATTGGTTGCCCAGTGATGTAGGTCATTGAGATGGCAGCTCCAACCTGAAAAAAAGTTATTTCTAAGTAAATGATCTTAAGTGCAGCACCTTCAATCTTTGAAGGAGCATTGGGGATGTTGCAGTCAGAGGGTAATCTGAATTGTTATGTCAGCACACTTCAGCTAAGAGCTACTGAATGAATAATAGTGAATGCATTTCCTTCTATTTGTCACCCTCCCTTGGCAGGAGACAGCCTTTGAGGTAAAAGAAAATATATATGTAAAGGTAGAGGTACAAAGATAGAAATTTGAAAGTGAACATAGATAAGAGTAAGGTGATGAGGGTGTCAAATGATTTAGATAAAGAAAATTTGGATATCACATTGGAGTGAGGAAGTATGGAAGAAGTGAATGTTTTCAGATACTTGGGAGTTGACTTGTCAGTGGATGGGTTTATGAAAGATGAGGTTAACCATAGAATTGATGAAGGAAAAAAGGCTAGTGGTGCCCTGAGGTATCTGTGGAGACAAACAACGTTATCCACGGAGGCAAAGAAAGGAATGTATGAAAGTATAGTGGTACCAACACCCTTATATGGGTGTGAAGCTTGGGTTGAAAATGCTGCAGCAAGGATACGGCTGGAGGCAGTGGAGATGTTCAGATAGTGTAAATATTATGCAGAGAATTCTGAGTATGGAAATTAGAAGAAGGTGTGGAGTTACTAAAAGTATTAGTCAGAGGGCTGAAGAGGGGGTTGTTGAGGTGGTTTGGTCATTTAGAGAATGACTTGGAGAGTGTATAAATCTGTAGGCAAAGGAAGGCGGGGTAGGGGTCATCCTCAAAAAGGGACAGGGTAAAGAAAGTTTTGTGGGTGAGGGGCTTAGACTTCCAGCAAGCATGCCCAAGTGTGTTAGATAGGAGTGAATGGAGACGAATGGTTTTTGGGACACGACGAGCTGTTGGAGTGTGAGCAGGGTAATATTTAGTGAAGGGATTCAGGGAAACAGGTTATTTTTATATAGCCGGATTTGAGTCCTGGAAATGGGAAGTACAATGCCTGCACTTTAAAGGAGGGGTTTAGAACATTGGCAGTTTGGAAGGATATGTTGTGTATCTTTATATGTATATGCTTTTAAACTGTTGTATTCTGATCATCTCTGCAAAAACAGTGATTATGTTTGAGTGAGGTGAAAGTGTTGAATGATGAAAGTATTTTCTTTTTGGGGTCACCCTGCCTCAGTGTGTGACGTGAGACGGCCAACGTGTTGGAAAAAAAAAAATGTGTGTGTAGTGTGACCTAAGTGTAAGCAGAAGTAACAAGATGTACCTGAAACCTTGCATGTGTATGAGACAGAAAAAAGACACCCGCAATCCTACCATCTTGTAGAACAATGACAGGATTCCATTTTACACTCACTTGGCAAGACGGTAGTACCTCCCTGGGCAGTTGCTGTCTACCAACCTACTACCTAGGTCTTGTAATAAATAATATTTTTTAGTAATTTAGGATTAAGAGTACCTTATCATCAATGGTGTCAAACTTGGTCAAAAGAATGCCATCAATGACCTGATGTGACTGGGCAGCGGACTGGTTAGCTAAAGCACGGTTGAATTTTACCAGCTGATCCACAGCCTCGTTGCCAACAAGAGCTTCGCCCACGAAGAGAGTCAAGTCTGGCTCATTCACCATGATCAGCTAAAAAAAGTATACAAACAATGTAGAATACCATGATAAAGCAAGCCTTTATTATAAATGATATGCAGTACATATTTACTATTCAAAAAAATTATGTACATGATTTATCCAAACAATCCTACTCCTATGAACATCATTCTTCAATTCTGTTAGTAGTAAGTAACTGCCATGTTTTTTCATGTAATATGGTAAATCTTTCCCTTAAGGGTGTCCTTACGTTGAATGCCATGTCATCCACTGACCCGTCTCCTGACATGTCCACACTCAAATACCTTAACACATTTACTTCTTCCCAACTCCCTCCTTCCAATCTGATATTCAATCTATCATTGCCTAGACTTTTTTTTGTAACCCTAATTAATTTAACTCTTTTCTACATTCATACTTAATTTCCTTCTTTTACGTAACCTTCCAAATTCGTCCAACACCATTTGTAATTTATCTTCAGAGTCCCCTACTTAAAGGTCCTGTCTTAAGTATGACAAACCTGGATATCAGATCTCTTACTCCTTTCTTCAATTTTCTTTACATATACAGTACTTCATATTTTTTCACAACTCCCCCCCCCCCCACCCTTTTCTAATGCAGCTTTTATATCATACATTAGGTATGTGTGAAAGTATCAGAATTGGTGGTTATCAGCAAATTTTAATTACAGCCTCTCCTCACTTAACGACAAGAGTTCCATTCCTATGACCACGGCAGTAAACAAATTTGTTGCTAAGCGAGGAGCATACTGTAATGGCGGTGGATTTGTGTCAACCATCTTTGATATTGTTTTAATGTCACCTTTGCACCATTTACAAAATTTCTAGTATACGTATTTTTAAATGTTTATACAGTAGTGTACTGTATATTGTAATGAACAGAATAGAGGAAATCGGCTCTAATTTAGGTATGCATACTGGTCAGAGAGCCCGTCGTAAGTCCGAGTCGTCGGTAAATGAACATGTATGTTGCTAAGTGAGGAGAGGCTGTATATCGATATCAGCTTCAAAGTAAGTACTGTAGTACTGGTATTGGTACCAGTGTTGGCTGGTATCAGTATAGGCATAAAATTGAGTATCAGTATCATCCCATCCATACTGTACATCAATTCATATTACAAATAAAATAATCTTTAACATGCTTTCATTCTCCTCTTTTCTTATCTGCATTCTCTACAAAATGTATGCCTAACTCCACTGAAATAAACTACCATAACTTTTATTTATTATGAGCACACCAATGTTAAATACAAAGTACCTGTTTTAGAAAGCTTACCTTAGCAAGTGCCCTCATGAGGGGCTCATTATCTTGCATACGACCAGCAGTGTCAATGAGCACTACATCAAAGTTGTTCTTACGTGAATATTCAATGGCATGTCGAGCAATTTCAGCAGCATCTTTACCATATCCCTGAAAAAATATACCAGTGAAGCCTATCACAATAAAATCTTGGTAATAATTTTTTTTTACCTCAACAGCTATTTCTTCCCAAGGTAGGGCGACACGAAGAAAAGTATTCATCATTCATTCAACTTATGTCATGCCAGAGGTGTGATGACATTACAATTCAGATTACCCTCCAACTGCACCAGCCCCACCCGTTCCTTCAGAGTGCAGGCACTGTTCTTATCTCTAGAAATAAAGTCCAGCTAACCAGTTTCCCTGAATCCCTTCTTAAAACTTACTTTGTTCACATTCCAACAGCACATCTGTTGAAAACTATTCATCTCTCTTCACTCCTACCCAACACATTCATACAAATCTGCTGAATGCTCAAGCACCTAAAGCACCAAGCCTTTTAACCCCTACCCTCCAACCATTCCAAAGATGGTCCCTAACCCTTCTACCTTCTACCCCAGGTTTATATACTGTTCACATATCTCTCTCCCTTGGTTTTGCCCATGGGGAAGTGGGAAAGAATTCTTCCTCCATAAGTCTATCACATCGTAAGAGGCAAATAAAATGCTGGGAGCAAGGGACTAGTAACCCCTTGTGTATAAATTACTAAATTTTAAAAAGAAAAACTTTAGTTTTTCTTTTTAGGTTACCCTGCCTCAGTGGGATATGACCATTGTATTACATCACTCTTAAACATCACTGCCTTTAGCCTCCTTGCTGAAGTGTTCAAAACTCATGCTTCACACCTGTGTAAGTAATGGTACCACTATGCTAGGTACATATATTCATGAAGAAGCCCTAATCCCAAGGAGACATAGTGACTGAAAATTATGAGGTAATCAGCTGTTTACTACAAAGGAAGAATAGCTACAACTCCTCAATCAAGAGCCCTTTACTAGCTCGAGTGACGAGTGAAAATATTAACAAATTTTGGGCATGATGAAAATTATCTGCTGTACTATTTTTTTCTTCTTTTTCAACGAACCGGCTGTATCCCACTGAAGCAGTGACCTAAAAAGAAAAACGAAAGTTTCTCTTTACAAATTTAGCAATGTATACAGAAAGGGTTACTAGCCCCTTGCCTCTGGCATTTTAGTCGCCTCTTATGACACGCATGGCTTACAGAGCATCTCGTATCTAGCAGATCACCTTTATCCAAGAGTTTCCAAAGCCATTTTATTGGCTTACATAGCATCTCGTATCTAGCAGATCACCTTTATCCAAGAGTTTCCAAAGCCATTTTATTACCAGATTTGTTATCACAATTCCTTATTTTTATCAAAGTATCAATATAGAAAAATTAGTCATAATAAAGGATGGAACCAGAGAAGAAGAGAATTTGAAGTTTTAATGTTTGTATAAAGTTTCCTTTTGCCTTCTTACATTGCTCTTTGTAATAATAAGATTTTGTCAACTGTTTATGAATAGTGGTCTTATTAATTAGTACACCAAGTTAAGCTATTGCTTAACTAATACAAACTACCTGGTATGAAACTAATAAATCCTGAGTGTCTTCAGCAAGTATGTCATTTTATTTTTACCTGTTCAAACAGCTGTACCATTGTAGATCCTCCATGTTTTTCTGGTGGATGAAGAGCATTTAAATGGTGCATGTGGGTGCGTAACTGCTCAACAGCTCCTGCTCGGAAAGTGTCGCAGGCAGCTATCAGCACACGAAAATTATTTTCAATAAGCCAGAAAGTAATCTGTGGGAGGATAATTATTATAATCAAAACCAAACATTAAACCCATAAGGTCATACAGTATGAAATAAAACTCAAAACATATATATATATATACTATATAATTTAGGATTCTTAACTAGTAGTTAAAACACCAACCACAGCATTTAACTACTTTACTACCTTTAGTTGCATCTCTTCAAAATTTACTTAAAGCTCCATTTCTCATGGTTCAGAAATGCTTATGATATTACCTGGCTACAAATTACTAATAAAATATTGTATATGACACCAAGAACTTGCAGCCATTTCCACATATAAACACACTGTAATCATAATACCTTGGCCAAATTAGTTGACTTCCCAACACCATTTACACCACAAAATGCTATGGTATATGGCCGGCCAGATGATTTGGCTTCCACTACATCACGAAGAATGTCCAAACGGCGTTTAGGTGTAAGCAGTTGAACCAGAGCCTCTGTAAGAGTGGATCGCACAGTGCTCGACACCCCCTCGAATGTTCCAATAATCTGACCAAGTACATATAAGCAATTAATACACAGATGGCAAGATAAATAACAAAAAAATAATGTAGTAAATAGAATTTTTTTTTTGTAGTATTAATTTTAGCCCTATGCATACCAAGGTGTCTTATAAATTTCATGCTGTTACATACCTGTGCAACCCTATTTTTTAATAGATCATTTTTTTTTATTATCACACTAGCCGATTCCCACCAAGGCAGGGTGGCCCGAAAAATAAAAACTTTCACCATCATTCACTCCATCACTGTCTTGCCAGAAGGGTGCTTTACACTACAGTTTTTAAACTGCAACATTAACACCCCTCCTTCAGAGTGCAGGCACTGTACTTCCCATCTCCAGGACTCAAGTCCGGCCTGCCGGTTTCCCTGAACCCCTCCATAAATGTTACTTTGCTCACACTCCAACAGCATGTCAAGTATTAAAAACCATATGTCTCCATTCACTCCTATCAAACACGCTCACGCATGCCTGCAAGTCCAAGCCCCTCGCACACAAAACCTCCTTTACCCCCTCCCTCCAACCTTTCCTAGGCCGACCCCTACCCCGCCTTCCTTCCACTACAGACTGATACACTCTTGAAGTCACTGTTTCGCTCCATTCTCTCTACATGTCCGAACCACCTCAACAACCCTTCCTCAGCCCTCTGGACAACAGTTTTGGTAATCCCGCACCTCCTCCTAACTTCCAAACTACAAATTCTCTGCATTATATTCACACCACACATTGCCCTCAGACATGACATCTCCACTGCCTCCAGCCTTCTCCTCGCTGCAACATTCATCACCCATGCTTCACACCCATATAAGAGCGTTGGTAAAACTATACTCTCATACATTCCCCTCTTTGCCTCCAAGGACAAAGTTCTTTGTCTCCACAGACTCCTAAGTGCACCACTCACCCTTTTCCCCTCGTCAATTCTATGATTCACCTCATCTTTCATAGACCCATTCGCTGACACGTCCACTCCCAAATATCTGAATACATTCACCTCCTCCATACTCTCTCCCTCCAATCTGATATCCAATCTTTCATCACCTAATCTTTTTTGTTATCCTCATAACCTTACTCTTTCCTGTATTCACCTTTAATTTTCTTCTTTTGCACACCCTACCAAATTCATCCACTAATCTCTGCAACTTCTCTTCAGAATCTCCCAAGAGCACAGTGTCATCAGCAAAGAGCAACTGTGACAACTCCCACTTTATATGTGATTCTTTATCTTTTAACTCCACGCCTCTTGCCAAGACCCTCGCATTTACTTCTCTTACAATCCCATCTATAAATATATTAAACAACCATGTTGACATCACACATCCTTGTCTAAGGCCTACTTTTACTGGGAAATAATTTCCCTCTTTCCTACATACTCTAACTTGAGCCTCACTATCCTCGTAAAAACTCTTCACTGCTTTCAGTAACCTACCTCCTACACCATACACCTGTAATTTATACATGACCCATCAGCTCTCACTGAAGGTATGAAATGACACCAAATCATCATCATCTTTAATTCAGTTAAAACTATTTTAGCATGGACCAGTAGGCTTGCTGTAGTGCTCCTCAAATTCTTTTCTCTTACTTCTACTAGTAGGCCCACTTTAAAATTTTTATCTACACTATAACCAAAAATTCTGGTTTATCAAAATATTCTGCCGACTCCTTCCAGTACCCATTGTCAGTTAAACACTAGTATCATTCAGAAGAATGATTTCTTTTACTGCCACTCCATTTTTGATCACTGCAGTAGCATCTGTGTATATTACAGTAGTGAGCAGACACCTACTAAAATTATTCTTCCGTGAATTTCACTGTAACTAAGCAGTCATTATAGTAGATGGATATAGATTCAGATGGCATATGGCCAGTAGTGAAGAAAAAACATTTGCAGACAGCCTTTTACTCATTTTTTTTTCACTAGTTGAATAGATGTTTATTTAGTATGACTTCCAAACAAATGCTTCATATATGAATCTGTATTCTCCTTGACCTGCCATTTATCTTCTTCCATGTGGCTTAAAGTCATTCAATAAAGTCATTCAAGAATGACCTACCTATGTAATTTTTCTTGTTTTTCTTTCCATAATTTCAGTATAATAATTTTTGTTCCAACTTGATACAACAGCACAACTTACTTTTCCCTCAAGTTTTTTCCCAATTGATTGGCACAATTTATTTGCTATTTCAGCAGCTACATTCTTGCCAATAAGATGGTCCTTCAGCTTTTCAAGGACAGGTTCCACATCAGCTTCTGTCAAGGTCTTGCCTCCCACTAACCCACGGAACATAGAAAACATTCCACCTGCAGAAAAGAGATACTAGCATTACTAATGATGACTGAACATTATTAGCCAAAAAATACATATTTTTCCTGCTTTAAAAAATACACTTTATTTTACAACTTAAAAATAAGGTACTTTCCATATACTGATTGTTTCCAGTTATCTGTAAGGGCAGTGTTAAGATGTGAAAAACATGACAAAAATTTCCAATTACAATATCCTACAATATTTTTATGAATGCAGATTTCTTTTTTTAATTCCCAACTTCCAAAACTCAACCTAGTTAGCAAATTTCCAATGTACAGCAAAGCCCATGATAAACCCACTATTACTAATTCTGAATTATCTGCTTTATCTTCAAGCTCTTATCTCTTATTGCAATCGAAAACCCTATTCCAACCCTTTCTCTGATACTCCCTAAATATTTCTTTTGTCCACCCTAAATTCATATACCTTCTTATCAATCTTCCATTATCCTTTCTACTTGACCAAAGCATATCAGCCACCCATTTTCAATTCTGTTGTGTTCTTCATACCATCACATTGCCTTCCACTGACTTTATTCTATATTCTTCACATAAAACTAACCATAACTGACCAAGTTATTTCATGTGTCAAACTTCCTCCTCAGTGCAATACTCAAAGCTTCACACTCATACCAAAGTGCAAGAACTACTAAAATTGAGCACATTCCAGACTATTTTCTCGTGACTTTCTTTCAATTATCTATTCTGTGAATTACTGAATTTGAGAGACTCATCCGCTGATACCTTCACTCCGAAATACAGCATCTGAATACATTCACTTCTACCATATTACTTCCTTCCATTCAGACCTCAATTCTTCATTTTACTTATGCTTTTCACCTTGCCCTTTTTCTACAGTTACAGTATGTTCAAACTACTGTACATTTCAAAGTAATACCTACCTCTGACGCTGCTGTTCGAAATCTCTCAATATTCCTGACATCTGCAAACAGCAATAAAAATAATTTGCACCTAAAATTTGATTCAGTGTTGTTTAGGACCACACCTACCTAGAGACCATACCCAAAGCAATGGAACCTGACAAGGTGTTACCATGAATTCTGACAGGAAGCAAAGGTACTGTCTGAACCATTAGCAAAGATCTACATGTCAATGTACAGGTTGTTTGGAAGGTGAGAAACAGATTTTCAGGGACACAACAGATGAGCCACAGAAATGTAATGAACTATTTCTTTAGACAGAGTGGTTGGGAAGTGTAATCATCTCAATGAAGTGGTGAAGGTTGGCTCCATATGTAGTTTTATGAGTAGGTACAATAGGGTAAGAAGCTAGGAGTAATTCTGGCAAGTAGCAAGGTGAGGGGTGGGGCCAGGAACTGAAACAACGCCTTATAATCACATACTGTGTAGGTGAGAACTGTCATTCACTTCTGTTAAAATCCTATCCACAAGTACATTAAAATAAGCATAAAATCACATATCCTCAGCGTAATCAAACTCTTACTGGAAATCTATCTCCTTTCATACACATCCTAGCCTATACCTTATTACACTTGCACAAACTCCTTACAACATTCAGTAACCTACGACATTCAGCAACACCTGCCACAAACTTCATATCACCCCCCATCACATTTTTCCAAATCCATAAATGTAACTACCAGCTTACTTCCTTTCACTAAATAACTTTTTTTTTTTTTTTTTTTCAACAAGTCGGCCGTCTCCCACCGAGGCAGGGTGACCCAAAACAGAAAGAAAATCCCCAAAAAGAAAATACTTTCATCATCATTCAACACTTTCACCACACTCACACATTATCACTGCTTTTGCAGAGGTGCCCAGAATACAACAGTTTAGAAGCATATACGTATAAAGATACACAACATATCCCTCCAAACTGCCAATATCCCAAACTCATAGGTTATTATAAACAGTTGCTCTACACATGCCCTTTCCTTTCTAATTTCCCTCTTATTCTACTGTAACCACTCCTAATACCAATTTTGCCATGCACTATTTAGTATACATAAAAGATTAACTCCCTTAAAAGTTCTTAGTCCCTTTAAGTAACTTACACCTTGTATAAAGCCACAAAGGTTTATAACCATATCTTTCGTACACACAATTCCAACCCACTATCCCCACACACTTTTGTTTTCTCTTAATCATATTTGCCTCTGCTGCTCTTCATAGTTTCAACATTCTTTCTGCCTTACTCACTTCCTTCATATTCACTTCCAGCTCTTCACCCATTATATATACATAATGCCTGAATGTTACAAACAAAATTACTGCATATATTTCATTGTCTACATAACTCTTAAAATACATTTTTTGTTATCTACTTCCTTATTCAGCATATCACTACCACCACCACTCTTGACAGGCTGATCCATTTGCTCGGTTTGTTTTTGCAATCAATTTGTTTCTTCTCAACAAATTTTATTAATGCCTCATTCATTCCTTAATTTCATCCTCTTTATTTTGAACTCTTTCACACTTATTTTTTATTATCACACCGGCCGATTCCCACCAAGGCAGGGTGGCCCGAAAAAGAAAAACTTTCACCATCATTCACTCCATCACTGTCTTGCCAGAAGGGTGCTTTACACTACAGTTTTTAAACTGCAACATTAACACCCCTCCTTCAGAGTGCAGGCACTGTACTTCCCATCTCCAGGACTCAAGTCCGGCCTGCCGGTTTCCCTGAATCCCTTCATAAATGTTACTTTGCTCACACTCCAACAGCACGTCAAGTATTAAAAACCATTTGTCTCCATTCACTCCTATCAAACACGCTCACGCATGCCTGCTGGAAGTCCAAGCCCCTCGCACACAAAACCTCCTTTACCCCCTCCCTCCAACCCTTCCTAGGCCGACCCCTACCCCGCCTTCCTTCCACTACAGACTGATACACTCTTGAAGTCATTCTGTTTCGCTCCATTCTCTCTACATGTCCGAACCACCTCAACAACCCTTCCTCAGCCCTCTGGACAACAGTTTTGGTAATCCCGCACCTCCTCCTAACTTCCAAACTACGAATTCTCTGCATTATATTCACACCACACATTGCCCTCAGACATGACATCTCCACTGCCTCCAGCCTTCTCCTCGCTGCAACATTCATCACCCACGCTTCACACCCATATAAGAGCGTTGGTAAAACTATACTCTCATACATTCCCCTCTTTGCCTCCAAGGACAAAGTTCTTTGTCTCCACAGACTCCTAAGTGCACCACTCACTCTTTTTCCCTCATCAATTCTATGATTCACCTCATCTTTCATAGACCCATCCGCTGACACGTCCACTCCCAAATATCTGAATACGTTCACCTCCTCCATACACTTATTTTTATTAATTTATATAGTCTGCCTTCCTTGTATTTTTTTTTTTTACACTGTAATAACCTTTCATATACATAACCTTTCATATGAACAGTACATCATAAATACAATTAGTCAGAAAACACTAACCATTATTCAACAAGCCTGTTATATGAATATACACACAATAAACACAAATCTAAATGAAAGAAGAAACCATGTAACAAATAAAATAACATTAATCTGAAATCACCTCTGCTTCTATTCTAAATGAGTCGTTTATCTCTTTCTTTCAACACACAAAGTATCCTGCCGAGGCAGGGTGGCCCAAAAAGAAAAACAAAAGTTTCACTTTAAATTTAGTAATATATACAGGAGAAGGGATTACTAGCCCCTTGCTCCTGACATTTTAGTCGCCTCTTATGACACGCATGGCTGACAGAGGAAAAATTCTGTTCCACTTCCCCATGGAGAAGTATATCTAAATATTTTAATTTAATCCTTCTGTATTGTGCATTTCTCATGGATTATGCATGGTAAGTTTGTATCTTACCTGTAAAGGCATGAATGGAAAAACTGTAGTAAGATATGAGGATACCTGGCTACAGGTCCTCGAGTACAAGGTTGGTGTGCTTATTACACAATTCACCAGGACAATCAAGTCAATGTAATCCTGTAAATACTTACCAGATTTTTTTTCTGTACTTTCCTTTTCTACTGGAATATCCATACCCCTGAGATTCCCAGCAAGTGTTCCAATCTGTAAATATTTAAAGCACTTAATCATACATTTTTGATACAGGAAAGCATAAATTCATGCTCATCTTTCACGTGTCTTTATTCATTCAAAATGTCAAGACAAAATATAAATGGCATTTGTGCTCTTTTAATCACTGTCATGGGCATAAAGACAACATGCAGAATAAGGTTTTATTGGACCCATTTCATTTGGGTTGAACTTTAGCAAATCAACTTTATTAAATTTAACCCTGGGTAAAACAGTCTTAATAAAAACTTGTTCTGCTTTTATACCTTTACCTGTTATTATGCCTCTACATCTACAATACTTAACATGTCTAGTAAAAACACGATTGCAAACACATCACAGTACAGGTGGGGCTCGAACTCATGGCCCATGAGTTCACGCCCCACCCGTACCATACTTTATAACTAATTTTTATTTACTATTATTCGCTTGTAATTTTACCCTATATTTTAAGACCTTTGCCATACATATAAACAGAAAAACACTATTTGTAGGAAATTTTACAGTACACTCTCCAAGTGAGAGTAATACAAAAAGTATAATTTCTCAATATTGTCAAGGTTTTATCATGCATTTTTTTTTTTGTAAGCTTCCCACAGACAATGCATAAAAGGCAACTTAAAGTCCCAATGAAGTTGTGACTTTAGAATATGAAACTCACTGAACATTAACTTAGGGATGGGGTTTCTGGAATGTTATAAAATACCAACAACATGCAGTATAATGCAATCCTTTATTGACAACTTCGTCAATACAGGATTATACTGCATTTCTTTCTTTTTCTATTAACTTAGGGCTTTCACAGAGTACAGAACTAAACACACAATGACAAATAATAAAAGGAGCTAACTCTTCATATTTATTAATAAAATACTAACATTTTATTTAATAGTAACCTTTATATTGTAATGAAGGCTTTGATATCAGTTTAATGGATTAAGTTTTTTTTTTTTTTTACCTGCGACTGATCAGGTAGAAAATCTGGTCGAAGGGAAGACTTAACACAGTCGCCACCAGCACTCTTTGATGAATAGTCGAGGCTTTTAGAATCTCGACCATCTAAGTCCCATATTGTTGCCTCTTTTCCCTGCAATAATAGTTTACTGTATGGAAGAATAACAAGAAAAACAGAAATAACTGCATCCAAGTTTACTTATGGTGAAAGAATTAGAATCTTAAACCTATTGAAATTAGACAAATTACAAAATATTTACTTCAAACCATCATATAGGTGTATACCATGACTAATCTTTCTACCTTACCTTCTTGCCACCTTTAGGCTTGGGACTTTTGGTCTTATCCAGCTTGGAAGTCTTGGGAGTCCCTCGTTTGGTGAACAATTTCTCACGATTTTTCCTCATTGTCTCTTCATCCAATTTATTAGAATTTTCTTCAGTACCACAAGCATTCTCAATCTTTAAAAACAAATTGCAACCCATTACTGTGAAAACTAAGATTTTTTTTTAACAACATAATAGCAGTTTCCCACCAAGGCAGGGCAACCTGAAAAAGAAGAAACACTTTCATCGTCATTTACTCCATCACTGCCTTGCCAGAGGCATGCCTACACTAGCTAAAAAAAAAACTAACATTTCAACACCCCTCCTTCAGAGTGCAGGCACTGTACTTCCCACCTCCAGGACTCAAGTCCAGCTAACCAGTTTTCCCTGAATCCCTTCACAAATGTTACTAAATTTAAAAAGACAAACTTTTGTTATTCTTTTAAGGTCACCCTGCCTCAGTGGGATACAGTCAGTTCATTGTATACAAAAAAAAAAAAAAATGTAAAATTGCTTTGGCAATTACGTCTGACTGAAGTATGCCAAAGTACTGATTTCTACTATGTTGTGTTGCATACAATAAATGTGTGGATTTTCACAAGAATAAACCACTGCTTAACAAGAAAACAAAATTAAAAATATTGTCTTATATTTTATTATTCCTTTTGCCCTTAGAAATATGAACATTATAAATTACCTAACTAAAGTGGTACCCCGAGTTTTGGCCATAATTCGTTCCAGAAGGCTGTTCGAGTGCTGTTACCAAACAAATTTGTTCCCATGAGGAATAATGTAAATTAGATTAGTCCGTTTCAGACCCCCAAAAATACACTTACAAAAGCACTTACAATAATACAATTACATAATTGTTCAAGTTGGGAGCTGTACGAAACTTGGAGTACCACTGTATTACAAATACAAAGTTTATTCTCTATAAGGATTACAATGCTGAGTTTACAGAAATTTGGTTATTGTGTGGTTTACATGTAGTAAAATAGTGATTACAGAGTGTACCACTAGAACGCTTAGCATGGCTAGGCATTTCGGGCAGACTTAGTTTTATTCTTAATTGTAAAATATTACAAATTATGAGGTAAGTTGGTATTATGGCTAAGTGACTAAATACTAGTTTGTGAGTTTAGCAATGTAAATGCTTTTGTTTTGGCACAGTACATAGTTTCAGTATTGGAGTATCACAGGATTCATTATTTTAAGATTGAGATTAATATTTCTGTTTATGGTCAAATGAGTCAGTGAGTGTAAGTGTGAACCACCAGGTGGTATTCGTGTAGTTAGTTGACAGGGTGTATCAGGGAGATAAGATGTTTTCTAATGGTAGTTTTGAAGGTGATGAATGTGTCTGCAGTTCTAGAGTTCTCAGGTACGGTATTCCAGATTTTAGGGCCTTTGACATACATTGAATTTTTGTAAAGGTTTAGTCGGACACGGGGAATGTCGTAGAGATGTTTGTGTCTGGTGTTATGCCTGTGGGTTCTGTCACAACTATCAAGAAAGCGTTTTAGGTCAAGGTTGATATTAGAGTTTAAGGCCCTGTAGATGTAGATTGCACAGTAGTAAGTGTGGATGTACTGAACAGGGAGTAAGTTTAGGTCTGTGAAGAGTGGGGGGGTGTGTTGCCAGGGATGGGATTTAGTGATTATTCTTACTGCAGCTTTTTGTTGGGTTATTATTGGCTTTAGGTGTGTTGCTGCAGTTGATCCCCAAGCACAAATAGCATAGGTGAGGTATGGATAAATAAGTGAGTGGTATAGTGTGAGAAGGGCATTTCGCGGCACGTAGTATCGTATCTTGGAGAGGATCCCAACTGTTTTGGATACTTTTTTGGTTATATGCTGGATATGGGTGCTGAAATTCAGGTTGTTGTCAAGGTATAAGCCTAGGAATTTGCCCCCATTATTTCTGGTAATTAGTGTGTTGTCAATCTTAATGTTAATTTGTGCATCTCCTGCTCTGCTACCAAACATAATATAGTAGGTTTTGTCAGTGTTAAGCGTAAGTTTATTGGCTGTCATCCAAGTCGATATTTTGATCAGCTCCTCATTCACAGTGGTGTTGAGGGTGGCAAGATTAGGGTGAGAGATGACACAAGTCGTGTCGTCAGCAAAGAGAATGGGTTTCAGGTGTTGGGATACGTTTGGAAGGTCATTGATGTATATGAGGAAGAGCAGGGGACCAAGGACACTTCCCTGCGGAACTCCAGTATCAAGTGGCCGTGTTGCTGATGCTGTGTCTTTAATGGTGACATACTGATACCTATTAGTAATGTAAGATTTGAAATAAGCAAGCGCATGGCCTCTTATACCATAATGATCAAGTTTGTGGAGTATGATGTCGTGGTCTACTGTGTCAAAAGCTTTTCTTAGGTCAATAAAAATTCCTAGTGGATATTCCTTATTTTCCAATGCTGTGTAAAGCAGATCTAGCATTTTTATGATTGCATCATTAGTGCTTTTATTTTTCCTGAATCCAAATTGGCAGGGGTTGAGTATGTTTTGAGCCGTTATAAATGAATACAGTCTCCTGTGCACGAGTTTCTCAAAGATTTTGGATAGCAATGGTAAGTTAGATATTGGCCTATAGTTGTTTAAGTCTGTAGGTGATGCTAAGCATCACCTGCTCGACTTACGACCACTCGACTTACGACCGTGCTTTTTATGCCAAATTTCTGGGAAATAAACAACTATTTGTGTTGTACACAGTGTTTATCCTAAACCTTACAGTATAAAATACAGTACTAACAGCATAAAAAGTAAAGTAAAACATGAAATACCAAAATAAAACAATAAAATAAAGTCATTACAAAAATGTTTGGTTGATATTCAGTAGTAAAGTTCAACTTACAACCATTTCAACTTACGACCAGTTTCTCGGAACCGAACTCGGTCGTAAGTCGGATGGTAGGTGTACAATATTAGAACCTCTTATGTAAACTTCAATGAATATTAAATATTTTTATTACTAAAATCTACATACCTCAACATGGAGATACAAGAGCAAAACTTTACCTTTTAACCGTGTTCAACATACTAGTACACAAATGCCTACAGTGTGTCCAATGTATTAGTATGCACAATTTTTCATACCTACAAATATGTCTCCTGCCAATATTTTTGACCTCAGCACAACTCTTTGGGTCTTCTTCCATCTCTCTGCACATTTAAAAAAACTAGGGCCAGCAGGGTGCACACAATGTATTATGGTTAACTACTCAGGTGATGACTATGTTCAACATACTAGTACACCTCACTAGCCAAAGTAAACAAAGAAACCAGGAGCTGTTGTTCCACCACAAGCTTCCCTACTAGCAAACAGTGTGTGCAAGTGGCTCAAAGATTACTTATTCAGTCAAAATTTATTACAGTTTTATTATAGTAACAGTGGAATTCAGCCATAAATAACACCAATTACATTTAACCGGAGGATAACACAGTAAAGTCAGTGTGAATAATTTCCATATTCTGATGAATATTATACTCTAAAATACTTGCAATGTTATAAGCATTCATTGCATATAGCCTATAAGACAAAAATAGTAGAAGAGTAGAATAAAAAACGTGTAATTATACAGTAAACATACTATATATATACATACTATGTATTATACAGTACAATGCCTGCACTTTAAAGGAGGGGTTTGGGATATTGGAAGTTTGGAGGGATATATGCTTCTTATATATGCTTCTAAACTGTCATATCTGGGTGCCTTCGCAAAGACAGTGATTATGTATGATTGAGATGAAGGTGTTATATGATGATGAAATTTTCTTTCTGGGGATTTCCTTTCTTTTTGGATCACCCTGCCTCAGTGGGAGATGGCTGACTTGTTAAAATAAAAAAAGTACACCATATTTACAAGCCAGTAAAATAAATCACTGACTTATTTCCATGTTTTTAAAAGTAATACACTCAGCAACAATTGTAATGTTACAAGTATTCCTTGTTGTACATAGCCTTCAAAAGACTAAATAGTAAAAAAAAATATAAACCAATTACTATATTGTACGTACATCTGCTAAGTGAAATAATGCAGGTAAGCATTTCCCCATGCTTGAAATGTTCAAACACCTTGAAACACATCTAAAGAAACTAGTATAGTGTTAAACATTAAAAACAATTAAAATAAGAAAAAAATCAATCATATCTTGGCATTAATTAATTGCAAAATGTAAATGCTGCACGCACTTTAACACCGCTGTCGCCGATAAGTGATCCTTTTTTCACCAACTTCAACAAGCCATCATACATTTTTACCAGATTACATTCGTTTTAGTCAGATTCAATTCTGAAAAATACACTATCGAACTATAGGAAAAGGGAGGTTTTGCTTTTTTCTTTTTCAAAATTTTGCCACACCACCAGGAATTTTTTTTTGCCCACTTGCCACAGCTAAGGGGTTAATTGTGAACAGAGTATAACAAATACTACAAAAAAACTTAAAGGTGAAGAGAGACCACTCACATATCTGTAATCCCACCTCGTATATTCATACTTCAACTCTTGTACAGTGGAACCCCGGTTTACGATCAGCTCCCAATGCGACCAATTATGTAAGTGTATTTATGTAAGTGTGTTTGTATGTGTATGTTTGGGGGTCTGAAATGGACTAATCTAATTCACAATATTCCTTATGGGAACAAATTCAGTCAGTACTGGCATCTGAACATACTTCTGGAATGAAATACAGTGGACCCCCATTTAACGATATTTTTTCATTCCAGAAGTATGTTCAGGTGCCAGTACTGACCGAATTTGTTCCCATAAGGAATATTGTGAAGTAGATTAGTCCATTTCAGACCCCCAAACATACACGTACAAACTCACTTACATAAATACACTTACATAATTGGTCGCATTGGGAGGTGATTGTTAAGCAGGGGTCCACTGTAATATCGTAAACCGGGGGCCCACTGTATTGTACTGTCAACAAATGACCAGCTATCTGCATACGGCCTTGAATAAGAGCTTCAGTTAATTTTATGGTAAATGACGAGGCAAAAACAATAACAGATCACGGAAGTATAATCACTCAAACACATTTAATCCTGCAACTTACCTCCTCTACATCATTACTATTAGGGACATTAACAATTTCCTCTTCCTCCTCCTCTTCCTCTTCTTCCTCTTCAATCTCTTCTACTCGACTCCCCTTACCTGCAAAAATGAACAATCATTCAAATGTAAACCACTAAATATAACACAACTCTAATTATGCCACCTTTTCTATTCACAACCACATTTCTCGAGGAGTGTACCTATCAGCTGGTAAGTTTAATTAGAAATGGTTATAACCCAAAGATACCTGTATAGCCAAACATATCTCACCTATAATCCTTAAGTTTTTTAAGACAAGACTGCTTCAAGCATCTCACTTTTCTTTCTATTTTAAGACATTCATTATAAAACCCTAGTCATTTTTGAGGATATAAATTCATTTTCCTGTCTTGGTTAAGAGTAAAATATGAAATCTGTTATTACACACATGCACTAAATATAACCCAAGCAAAATCTTCAAATTAAAAGAAATTAAACAAGTGGAAAAATAAATTCATCTACTTACTATTGTTATTGCACTCATTGTCTTTCTTCTTGCCTTTACCTGGAATGAACAGAGAGGTCAGTAACCCATCACCAGATAATAAGAGCGTGCATTTTATCTGGTTAAACCTTTGTTGAGCTTATCATAGATCATAGATCTAAACTTACTCCCTGTTCAGAACATCCACACTTACTACTGTGCAATCTATATCTACAGGACCTTAAATTCCAATATTAACTTTGACCTAAAACGTTTTCTTGATAGTTGTGACAGGATCCACAGGCATAACACCAGACACAAACATCTCTATGACATTCCCCGTGTCCGACTAAACCTTTACAAAAATTCAATGTATTTCAAAGGACCTAAAATCTGGAACACCCTACCTGAAAACTCTAGAACTGCAGACACATTCATCACTTTCAAAACTACAGTTAGAAAACATCTTATCTCCCTGATACACCCCGACAACTAACTACATGATAACCACCTGGTGGTTCACAATTACACTCACTCACCCACTGACTATAAACACAGAAATACTAATCTTAATCTTAAAATAATGAATCCTAACTAGTCATAAGTTTGCCTATGATACTCCAATATAGACACTTTGCATTGTGCTAAAACAAAAGCATTCACATTGCTAAACTCACAAATTATAATGTAGTTACCTAGCCTTAATACCATAATCTGTAAGGATTTAACCCTTTGACTGTCGTGGTCGTATATATACGTCTTACGAGGTACCATGTTTGACGTACAGTGGACCCCCGCTTAACTATCACCTCCAAATGCGACCAATTATGTAAGTGTGTTTGTACGTGTATGTTTGGGGGTCTGAAATGGACTAATCTACTTCACAATATTCCTTATGGGAACAAATTTGGTCAGTACTGGCACCTGAACATACTTCTGGAATGAAAAAATATCGTTAACCGGGGGTCCACTGTATATATACTCATAAATTCTAGCGGCTTCAAATCAAGCAGGAGAAAGCTGGTAGGCAGTGCATAATGAGAAAAAAAAAAACTCCTACCATTTTTTTTAATTAAAATGCCGACTTTGTGGTCTATTTTCGTATAGTATTTATGGTTGTATTCTCATTTTCTTGGTCTCATTTGATAGAATGGAAAACACATTATAGAAATAAGAGTGATTTTGATTGATTTTACTATAAAAAGAACCTGGAAATGGAGCTCAAAGTAGGGAAAATGTTTGATTTTTGCCATGTTCAAAAGTAAACAAATGATGTCATTGTCCAATAAATGTCCAACTAGCCATTCTAATATGCAGTCATGAATGGGTTGATGTTATTTATACAATTATTACAGTAGTCTGCATAATAGTAAGTCTTCTATTTTTTGTTTGAATAAAAATTCAAAATAGAAAGCAAGAGTAATATCAGAGGGGCCTGGAGACATGACTGATGAACAAAGAAAATGTTATTTTAGAGCCAGGAATGTCTGCATTGTTCATTCTGGACCTTATTTTGAAATTGTCATATTTTTTAATTTTCGTGATATTGGCCAAATTGCAAATTTCTGACCATGTTATTGGGTAGTTGAAATTGGTAAATGGGCAGTTTCTTGTACTCAATCGATAGAAAAAATGGAGTTCTAAAGAAATAGCTATGAGTTTGGTCGACTGGAACAATGGAATTAGCCGAAAATAGGGCTCAAAATGGGCGAAATCGCCGATTTGTAAACATCGCCGAGGTCGCTAACTACGCAAGAGCATAACTCCGTCAGTTTTCCATCAAATTTCGTTTTTTTGGTGTCATTACAATCGGGAAAAGTTTTTCTATCATTTCATAAGAAAAAATAATTTTTTTTTTTTTTAAATTTTGCGACACCAGGAGACACCTCAGGATTGGGGGTTGCGACAGTCAAAGGGTTAATGTTAAGAATTAATCTAAGTCTGCCCAAAATGCCTAGCCATGCTAGGTGTCCTAGTGGCCCCTTCTGTAATTAGTATTTTATAACATGTAAACCACACAATATCCAAATCCTGTAAACCCCACATTGTAACCCTTAGAGAATAAACTTGATTTGATTTGATATATACAACTTATGATTTCGCTTATAATTCTGCGATTCTCTAAGCCCATCCCGGTCGTATAACACGAGGATTGGTAGAGGCATAATCCTGTCCACTAAGCACAGGAGATCACAGGTTATGAATGACATTCACTCATACATGAACAGTAAATACCATTATGCAGGAAACTTTCATAATTACCCTGAGAGAGACATTGATATAAACAAGTACCAAAACATAGTAGATTAAAAAGCTGATATATATATTATTTTATAGTACTTATGAAGAAAGGGGTATATGGTAAAATGCAGTACAGGTCCACATTCCTTTATCCGATACCCTTGGGGCCAGCAGTGTTTCAAATTTCAGAATTGTTTGAACTTCAGAATGAAGGTAGGGTCTAGGGCAGCACCCCATAATCAAGCATTAACAATGCAGCAAAAATGCATGAATACTCACACTAAGTAGGATAAATAAAGACTACAAATACTATTACGGTTTATTTATAGAGTAATATATTGATAAATGAAGTAATGGGATAATTATAGACCAGAAACATGATTCTCAAGACGATTTGACAGAGGGCATTTTTGAAGACCGTGTCATCTGTCTTATTAACATAGGTTTCTGTCTAAGCAATCTCTAACTGAGTAAACTGCCATAATCTCTTGCTCACAGATAAATGCATGTTGTTCAAGGCCAGCAATTGCTTATTTGTATTTAACACCATTTCAGCAATTTCACCATCACTCAAGGAATGCACAACAGGTGCATCATTGTCAATGTTCAGCATTTCATCAATGTCAGCTTCCTGTAACTCCATTAGCACACAGTCATGATCTTCGTTTTTTGCCTTATACTGTACAGTGTTTTCCTATTTTTCATTAGTTTTTGGTCATCACGGTCACTGTAATACTTCAGTAACTTGTCTTTGGTTCTTTAAATCATAAACAGTGATAGTTCCAACACCATATTCTTCAGTAACAAAATATCCGCAAACAGCAGACGCAGGTGTGGACACTACAAGCGCTGACAACTTTTTGAACACTACAAGTGCTGACACACAGAACTTTTTGGATTTCAGATTTTCGGATAAAGGAATGTGGACCTGTACTGGATATATATACAGTATGACATGAGACAGTGAGGTGGGAGGCTTACAGACACATCAAATGTGGGAAGGCAGCTGCCAACCACACATGTAATTCTAGCTATCACTGGATTACCATATTTTTTGAAAGGTAAATTCTGTTTATAACAAAGCTAATCTAGGAACTGTAAGCTGTCTGGCTAGCCAACTTGTTTCTTATTTATGTATGGTACCTTAGAGTTTAGACAATACAGTATATACCAAATACAACAAACCCTCGCTAAAACAGACCTCTTTAAAGCGGATATCGGACATCCCGCTAAACATGGCAGTTTAGTGGGATTTTTTTTTTTTTTTTTTTATTATCACACCGGCCGATTCCCACCAAGGCAGGGTGGCCCGAAAAAGAAAAACTTTCACCATCATTCACTCCATCACTGTCTTGCCAGAAGGGTGCTTTACACTACAGTTTTTAAACTGCAACATTAACACCCCTCCTTCAGAGTGCAGGCACTGTACTTCCCATCTCCAGGACTCAAGTCCGGCCTGCCGGTTTCCCTGAATCCCTTTCATAAATGTTACTTTGCTCACACTCCAACAGCACGTCAAGTATTAAAAACCATTTGTCTCCATTCACTCCTATCAAACACGCTCACGCATGCCTGCTGGAAGTCCAAGCCCCTCGCACACAAAACCTCCTTTACCCCCTCCCTCCAACCCTTCCTAGGCCGACCCCTACCCCGCCTTCCTTCCACTACAGACTGGGATGTCCAATTAAAATAGCAATGAAGCGAAATCCACTATATTGCATGGCTGTCAAGCCCAACTCCACAATCACAAGCTTGTCCAGTCTGGGTTTTTTCTGGACACCTCCATTTTCATTGTTCCTGAGCAGCGGGGCCAATGACTCGGCCCATGGCAAACCAGGCATTGCTTTTCCCATCTCCAAATGCCCAGTTTTGGAGAGCTTGTACATCATTTTATCATCAGCTTCCTGTTTTTAGTCGATAGGCGTGGTCTTCTGCTGTTGTAGCCCATCCTTTTCAAGGTTCGATGTGTTGTGTGTTTAGAGACACTCTTCCATATACGTATGTGTACCACTGCAGTAACACATGGTTCTTTGAGTTATTGTCACCTTCCTGTCAAATGAAACCAGTCTGGCCATTCGCCTGTGCGGCGAAACATTTCCTAAATAAAGATTCCCATATAGTGCATAAGTGTCTCAATCTTCAACTTATCGGTTTTCAAAACCATTCATCACAACTGTCAGACACTGCATCATCATGGGATCTTGATACAAAGAATTCTCCAACTTGTCCTACCTTTGGACGAAGACCTACTTCGACTAGTGGATGTTACCACTATGACCCCGCCTCACCTGACTACAGTATATAAGCCACGTCTACAGTCCTATGCTGTACATCCTACAAGATTGATGGACTGAACACATCGACTCCAGGCTGAGGGACTGATTACCTCAATCTCCTCTTCTTGCACCTCTCTGCTTTGTATTGGACTGATGAAGCCACTGTGTGGCGAAACGTTTCCTAAATAAAGATTCCCATATGGTGCATAAGTGTCTCAATCTTCATTAGTAAAGTTCTTGATCCCCTAACCTTCGTGAATGTGGAGGGCCTCCTGTATAATGGAAGGAAGAGGGGGTAGGGTCATCCTAGGCGAGGTTAGTGAGAGGGGGTTAAAAGAGGTTTTGTATGAGAGGGACTTTGATATCCAACAGGCATGTATGTGAGCATGTTACAAATGAGTGGAAGCAAGTGGCTCTTATGGTTTGATATGCTGCTGGCAAGGTAACATTTATGATCAGTTTCATCACAGGCTTTGACCCTGGCTGTGTCAAGAATGCTTCCCAGCAGAGGATGATGAATGGAAAAATCAAATGCTTGCTCAGGATGGATTCATGGGAAAAGTATTTGCTGGTCCCTCTTCAGCAAAGGACCAAGCAAATAAAAATGTAGTACATAAACAAGTTTTACTGTATGTACTTTTATTCATAAACTATTGAAGCAAACATTTAACAAATGAGAATCTTGCATTTCATGCAGTATACAAGCCATTACCATTCACCACTTATTAGTGCACTCTTCCATTCATGTCAGTTTATTACCATAGTATATTTATCCTTACCATCCTTCTTCTTGGCAGGCTTCTTTGGCTGTTCTCCTCCTCGATGTTTAATCATAGAGTTGACAGTCTTCATGGACTTATTAGACTCCTGGAAGGTTCGAGGCTTCTTTGGTTCCTCCTTAACCATCCTCGACTCCATCTCGGCAATTCGAAGCAGTCGGTCATAATCTTGTGCAAAGTCAAAGCTCTGAAGAAAAAAAAAAAATATCTTTAGTGGAAACAAGTTTAACCCTTTGAGGGTCGACAGGCCCTCTCCGAGACTCGTTCTCAGGGTCGGCCAAATTTAAAAAAAAAAAAAATAATTTTTTCTTATGAAAAGATAGAGAATCTTTTCCCAATCATAATGACACCAAAAATATGAAATTTGATGGAAAACTTACGGAATTATGCTCTCGCGAAGTTAGCGGTCTCGGCGATGTTTACGGATCGGCGATTTTGCCCACTTTGAGCCCCATTTTCAGCCAGTTCCACTGTACTAGTTGACAAAAAACATGAATATTTCGCTAGAACTCCATATTTTCTATTGAATGAGTGCAAGAAACCACCCATTTACCAATTTCAACTATCCAGTTCAGTGGTCAGAATTTAGCAATTTTGCCAATTTCACACAAATTTCAAAAGATGCCAATTTCCGAATAGGGTCCAGAACAAACAAGAAATACATTCCTGGCACTAAAACGACATTTCCTCTGTTCATTAGTCATGTCTCAAGGCCCCTCTTACATTCTTTTGCTTTCCACTTTGAATTTTTATTCTCACAAAAAATAGAAGATTTACTGTTATGCAGACTACTGCATTAGTGTAAAAAATGGTATGAATCATATTGGCGCACTTGCAAAAGAATATTAGACTCACCAGTTGACGTGAATTGGACGCTTGGCATGATTTGTTTACTTTTGAACTTTGGTAAAAATCGAACATTTCTGCTACTTTGAGCTCAATTTCAAGGTACTTTTCATTGTAAAACCAGTCAAAATCATCTCAATTTCTATGATATGCCTTCCATTCTATAAAATGAGACCAAGAAAACTAGAATACAACAATAAATACCATACGAAAATACAGTGCAAAGTCGCTGTTTTATTCCAAAAAAAAAAGGTCAAAGTTTTTTTTTATCTCATTATGCACTGTGTGCTGCAGGATTTTTTTTATACCGTGCACACTGACCACATAGACCCATTCTTTCATATGGAGGCCTACCAGCTTTCTCCCACTAGATTTGAGGGCGCTAGAATTTAGGCATACTAGTACGTCAAAAACCCTGGGTCGTAAGCCGTACTAGTACGTCCGAAACCCTCAAAGGGTTAAGCAACAGGACTGAGTTCATAAAATATGGGGAAACTAACACTCTACTAATTAACTAGTAGACAAGAACACAATTAATTTGAATGGAATTTTATGTATTAGGAAACAATATACAGTACCTTAATTTGTCTAGGATTCAAAATATTCAAAGAAATGGTGTTTAACATAAATTCTGAAACATGTATAACTCAACTGGTACCCAATAAGTCATTTCTTATGACAAATGTAAATGCTGAGAATAGCTTTTGTATTACTTATTTAATAATTAAGAGACTAAGTTTTCTGTATGTGGAACACACACACAAAAAAGATTTTTTTAATTTAAATTATATTTTTATATGATGTGTTATATGAAAGTATGCTCGCCTAGTTATGTTGTTGCAAGCCTTATAATGATAAAGTTAATATTTTATGGTAAAAATTTAAGCTCTTATAACTATGAATTCCTAGAAAAACAATGAATTAAGACATAGTCTTGTATTATACATCTTGCACTTGATGCACAGTAATTGTGTATTAGCAAGTTTTGAGACATATTAATTACTGTGATAAACAGTAGCTGCATACCTGATAATAGAGGCCCTGCCGAAGCTGTTCTCTGTAGCGTTCACGAAATTCTCGTTGAACATCAGAAAGGAATTTGTCGACATAAGACAACTGTAATATATTTTGATAAACTGCCACAAACAGTAAGTCAAACTCGTTGTCTAATTGTTGCTTAAGTGCTAAGTTCCCATGAATATATAATCCAGCTCCTCCTCGTTCCTGAATATAAAAGCATGAATTAAGTTCATTTGGTACTCAAAATAATTTTAGATGAGTTTTAAACAGCATAGATAAACTGATGTCCTATCTTGACACAGTGGCAATTAGAAGGAAGGTATAAGATCATATCAGCTCCAGGGTTGCTGGGGGTAACTCCCCAGTTAACAACCTACTTACCCACCTGGGCCAGGTTTTTTAGTTTTAAAAAAAAATCTAGGTTTGACCTGGCAACTTAACTCAAAAAAAAATGTTATGGTATGGATATAAAGAGTTTAGTAATTTAGATCTTAATCTTTTATGTGTGCTTTTAATAGGCTGGACAAAAATACATATTTTAAATATTGCTCATACTGTTACTGTATATATTAATGCTGCGAAGTATAATTCAGATTTATGTAATTCATTAATGGAATACAGATCAATGGTATGAATATTAAATTTTAATATATAAACAGTAAATATGGCACAGTACATCATTTCATGAAAATGGACTTCTTATAAATTTGAAAAAATCACTAAACTATCATACAGGGTAACGTAATTTTTTAAATCACAGCATAATTAACAAACAGTTTAAAATAAATACATTACAAATTTACAACCAAAAAGTCTGACGAAAAATGAAGATCACCTGCAATATTATTATAATAAAAAAAGAAGCGCTAAACCACAAGGGCTAAAGATCACCTGCAACACAACATTCCTGATGAGAGCATTAATGGCGTCAATGGAAGTTTTGAGTTGCTGGACGGCATCCTGGAAATACCAGAGCACCAGCCCACCCTTGGTTATGACAGCGAAGAAGTCTAGCATTACAGAGGTGAGAGTGATGTGGAGGTGTCAGCTGTGTCAGCTGCTGCAGCATTTGTTGTGTTGTGGTGTCAGCTCCACCAGACCCTCGACTTTTAGCTGACTCTCAATTTATTAACATTTTTATTTTTCTCTGCTGGGGCGAGTCTTTTATTTTGCGATATGATTATTTTTTAAATATTATTTACGGTTATTTGTATGTCTAGTTTAAATGAAAGATGAATGTGATAAGGAAGACGCAAAATATGATTATCGTCAATAAGTATTGTATAAAGTTAACTTTTGCTCAAAATAATATAAAAACGTAATAATCTGTAAATTACTATCAAATGTAACTATAGATAACTACGTCATATGAATATATAAAACATTTATCCTAATGAAGTCGACGTTTATAACAATGTCAAAGTATATGCACCAAAAAATGTACATTTTTATCTATATAAACTGTGTATATAAGTGAATGGAAAACATGAATAAATAAAGGGATATGAATAACTTATTGAAAAGTATCTATCCAGGATAGGACTAGCAGCAATGGATTCAAGTTGAACAAACTTAAATTTATAAATGATGTGGGGAAGCACTGGTTTGTCAATAGAGTTGTACTTTGTTATATAAAGTTTGTTCTTTAACACTTGTATCACAAGTGGAACTCTCAAGTAGCATCATTGTCGAGATACCTGGTAGCTTTAAATATAAGTAGAGTATTATTTCAATACAGAGTGTGGCCCATCTGAGGTTTTAAAAGGGGGAAGAATTGATTTCTTGAATACGTAACAGTTATGTACCTATTATTGTAAGCTGATCCTATCTCTAATGTTAATATAAACGACTAATATATCTCCTAATATATCCCCTTTGACCCATGCATGCCAGGAGAATTGATAGGGAACAGTGTAGTAAAGAAAGCGAATGCCAGGCTGAAGTTCCTGTATAGACAAGCACAGTGTCTACCTACTGAGGCTCGCAGGACCCTATGTCTAGCCCTTATACAATGCCATATGGATTACGCTTGCTCTTCTTGGTACTCTGCCTTGACAAAAAAACTGAAAGATAGACTGCAAATCACCCAGAACAAAATCGTAAGATTCATCCTGGGGCTGGGACCAAGAGAACATGTAGGCCAGGATGAATTACAGCAGTTGGATATGCTGAATGTTGAAGACAGAGTAAAACAACTGAAGCTAAATCATGTTTATAAAATTGCTCACAGTGTCCAGAATATCTTGCTGTCAATTTTGTCAAGGTTGGGAACCGCAGCAATCATAGTACTAGGGGGAGAGAGCACAACTTTGTAGTACCCACAGTCAGTGGCCAGGCTTCAAACACCTTTTATTGTACAGCAATAAAGGAATGGAACAGACTACCCACAAACGTCAAGGCCAGTCATAGCTTGAACCAGTTCAAGAAGACTGCCAAAAAGTGTCTGATGAATGAAGCAACAGAAAGGGAGGGGAATGATTTTCTATTTTTTAGCTAAAATACGTGTAAATTTTACCTTATCCCTAGTAATGACCCTCGTATTGTAGATAGTCGTAATGACCCTCGGGTAGTAGATAGTCTTAATGACCCTCGTATTGTAGATAGTCTTAATGACCCTCGTGTAGTAGATAGTCTTTTTAGTATGATAATAAGATGTTATCTTCATTATAGAATAATAAGAAAATATTATAACCTTTATATTATAATAATAAGGTAAAAAGACCCCAATGGAAATAAGTCACTCTGTCTGACTTTTTTGGGTTATCCTAGGTTCTCTACACATATGCTGCTATGTATGATAATTCTATGTAACTGTATTGTGTATACCTGAATAAATTTACTTACTTACTTACTTACTTACTTACTTACTTACTTATTCCTTTTATGGTAACTGATTTTCACGCAGTTGAGTTACTTAGCTGTTTTAACCTTTAAAGCTCAAATAATATGATAAAACTAAGACCCTAATGGAAAAAAATCACTTTGGGTTATCCTAGGTAATTTACACTATGTATGATAATTGTACTTATGTGCACCTGTGAATAAATAAACTAAATAAACTTATTAAAGGATCCCAATGGAAATAAGTCACTCTGACTTTTTTGGGTTATCCTAAGTTCTTTACACATATGTTACTATGTATGATAATCTATGTAACTGTATTTGTGTATACCGGAATAAACTTACTTATTTGCTTACTAATCATTCTCCAGAAGTGCAGTTAGAATCAATCACTAATGACTGTATTTCAGAAAACAGGGGCTCATAGCTCGGTGGTAACGCCTTGGGCTCACAACGGAAGGACCCATGTTAGATCCCGGGGCGGGTGTTCACCCATGAGAACATGAGAATGTAGGAACACTGCTGTTGACCTACTTGGGCACTGAATTAATAAAACCACGTCTTCAAATAAAGATATCAAAACTTGTCTGACTATCCTGACGCATAACATCAAAATAGTTAACATATGATCACCAGAGGGCAGAAAGAAGCGCTAACTTTTGTGTTAAAAACTGAAGTGAAACTTCTAACTCAGCTGTGGGAGGATAGGGGTAAATAAACACCTGTCAGATCATCTGTTGGAAAATGCTCATTAGTGTCTAGCTTGTTTGGTGTGTTTTTTTTTATAGATATATTTGAGAGAGTAAGAGCCATGAGTGTGGTACAGGCAGTGAAGAGTTACGTGAACAAGATGATCACTGAGAGTGAACCTGGATACAAGATTATGCTCATGGATAAGGAAACTGTAAGTGTTTTGCTCAAAAATAATTGCTTGACAATGCTTATCTCTTTCAGGTTTTTTGAGGTTACTGAATATTTATTGTTGAAGCTCATTCTGCTTCATAAAAAAAAATAATAAATTACGTTGTTGGTTTAGAAAGACACGTAAGCAAACACTATAACATATTTATTAGAAAACGTTTCGGTCCTGGGACCTTGATCACTTCGGAAGTGATCAAGGCCCCAGGACCGAAACGTTTTCTAATAAATATGTTATAGTGTTTGCTTACGTGTCTTTCTAAACCAACTTGTCGGTATTTATTACCAAGGTTTATACCAAATTACGTTGTACCAAGGATCCTAGTGGAAATGTCACTTTGACTTTTTTGTGTTATTCTAGGTAATTTGCATATATAAATCACTTTATCTGACTTTTTTTGGGTTATCCTAGGTAATTTACACTATGTATGATAATTGTACTTATGTGCACCTGTACCTAATTAAACTTATTCGTTGTACAATGATTGTTTTTTCTTTGGATTGTTAATCTCAAAGTTTAGTAACCCAGGATAACCCAATTAAGTCAGTCAGTGGTTTATTTCAATTCTTGCCTTTTGATCCTCTTAACAGTCAGCTAACATCCAGAGTTAATAATTCACATTGCATCTATAACTACTATTACCATTACTACAAATGCCGAATCTCTTAAATTTATTTTACTTTTTCATTGATTAACTCATTTTTTAAAGAGAAAAGCAAATATTGGTGGGCAGAGCATTTCTTTGATAAGGTTATGAACAATGCTGAACACAACTTTTTGTATACATGAAGAATTCTCTTTCATACTGTATATTTTCTTTTATATTTTGTCCTACACTTCAAAAACTATATAGCAGCACAGGAGTTTTTGTCTCTTTTAATGAACAAAGACTGCATTTGGTATAAAACATTATTAAACCCATAGGGCTCATACAGCACCTGGGAAATGGGAAGGGTCAATATGCACTTTAGGTCTGTTTTATATGTAAACTCTCTAGTATTAAGTGCTCTGTCCAGTGAAGATGATTATAAATAACAAAAAAGGCACAATACTGTGACTGGAACGATACACAAATAACCCGCACATAAAAGAGAGAAGCTTACGACGACGTTTCGGTCCGACTTGGACCATTGACAAAGTCACACTTAGTCAATGGTCCAAGTCGGACCGAAACGTCGTCGTAAGCTTCTCTCTCTTATGTGTGGGTTATTTGTGCAAGATGATTATATTTAGTGCCTATGGGAAAAGACCTTTTTTTTTTTTTTTCATACAACCTAACCTAATGTTACTCATCCTAATTTAAATGACAATTTTACACCAGTATAGGTTTGGTTAGGTTGGAATATGTTATTAAATTTGCTTCTCAAAATAAAGATTCTTCCTATTTTTTTAAAATATAACTGTCTTCATTTCACAACCTACCTAATAATTTTTTATACATGATTAATGATATTCTTATTTTTGCATATTATTATCTAAATAAACAATTTCTGCAATACATACTGGTAACTATTTTTCTTTTGGAAAAAAATAACATTGTCATTATAATATGAATACTAATGGATTTATGTTATAGGAAAAACACAAAATGACCATGGGAGGTAGTAAGGTTTGAGCCAAAGAAAAATATGCAATTACACACTATAATAATTTACTCTTAATTAGTAACGTCATGTCTCCTTATCTGTAGTCATCTATGGAAGTATTTTTCCTGTTTATAGGGAAATTTATTGGGAAAAGCTCTCATTCTTTTAATTCATCTTTGTACATTATTAGATGCTGATGTTTTAGAATGTGAGAGTATCTTTATAGCTTGGTTAGTAGCACACTCGGCTCACACATTGAGGTCCTGGGGTCGATTCCTGGTATGGGTGGAAGCATTAGGACTTGTGTCTTTAAGATACATGCTGTCCCTGTTCACCTAGCAGTAAATAGGTACCTAGGTGTTAGTCAACTGGTGTGGGTCACATCCTGGAGTTTACCTGGACCTGACCTAATTTGCCCAAAATGTTCTGCATACAAGGGGCATTCTATATAGCATGTCATTGATGTAAGCTAGGTATGTATACATTATACATGTACTTGTTGAAATAAAGATTATTATTATTTTTGTTATTATTATTATTATTGTTATTATTATTATTATTATTATTATTATTATTATTATTATTATAAACTGAATTTTAATCCTCTGAATTTTTTTCAGACATCATTTGTGAGTGTAGTTCTTGGCATGAGTGAGGTGATGCGCCAGGAGGTTTACATGTTTGAGCGACTTGACCAGACTAGTTCTGGGGAAAACATGGCTTACCTCAAGTGTCTAGTGTATATCAGACCAACTAGAGAAAACATTGATCTACTTGCACGAGAACTTCAGAAACCTAGATATGGAACATATTATATATGTAAGATTTTTAAGCTTTTTTGTTAGACATTACTGTACAGTGGACCCTCGACTAACGCTATTAATCCGTTCCTGAGAGCTCATCGTTAGTCAAAATAATCGTTAGTCAAGTTAATTTTCCCCATAAGAAATAATGGAAATCAAATTAATCCGTGCAAGACACCCAAAAGTATTGAAAAAAAAAATTTTAACACATGAAATATTAATTTTAATACACACAAACTGAAGAAGACATGCACAGTTACATGACACTTACCTTTATTGAAGATCTGGTGATGATTGATGGGATGGGAAGAGGGGTGTGTTGATGGTCTTAGTGTTTAGAAGGGGAATCCCCTTCCATTAGGACTTGAGGTGGCAAGTCCTTTTTCGGGGTTACTTCCCTTCTTCTTTTAATGCCACTAGGACCAGCTTGAGTCACTGGACCTCTGTCGCACAACATATCTGCCCATAGAGGCCTGTACCTCCCGTTCCTTTATGACATTCCTAAAGTGTTTCACAACATTGTCAGTGTCACCATTAAACACTTGTTCAGGTTTCAGTCCTTCACTGTCTATGTACTCCTTGAATTCCTGCACATATTTTTCAGCTGCTTTTTGGTCCAAACTGGCAGCCTCACCATGCCTTATCACACTATGTATGCCACTACGATTCTTAAATCTCTCAAACCAACCTTTGCTGGCCTTAAATTCACTCACATCACCACAAGTTGCTGGCATTTTTCTAATTAAATCGTCATGCAACTTCCTAGCCTTTTCACATATGATCGCTTGAGAGATGCTATCTCCTGCTATCTGTTTTTCGTTTATCCATACCAATAACAGTCTCTCAACATCTTCTATCACTTGCGATCTCAATTTCGAAAACATAGTTGCACCTTTGGCAAGAACAGCTTCCTTGATTGCCGTTTTCTTGGCCACAATAGTAGCGATGGTTGATTGGGGTTTTGTGTACAGCCTGGCCAGCTCGGAGACATGCACTCCACTTTCATACTTAGCAATGATCTCTTTCTTCATATCCATAGTAATTCTCACCCTTTTTGCTGTAGGGTTGGCACTAGAAGCTTTCTTGGGGCCCATGGTGACTTATTTTGCAGGTGCAATCACTAAAAAGGCTGTGATAATATGAAATGTTCCGATTGTATGCTTGGAAGCGACCGCGGTGGCTGGCTGGCTTGTAAACATTGGCCAGAAGTGGACGCGTCTCAGATGGAACGAATAGTGTTGGCCGAGTTTTTTAGCGCTAATCGAGGCAAAATTTTTGCGATAAAATGTATCGCTAGTCAGATTTATCGTTAATCGATGCCATCGCTGGTCGAGGGTCCACTGTACTTGTAAATGATGAAATATCAGTGAATTAACTATTGGAGTTCTTGATTTCTTATGTGAATTTACCACACAATGCAATTTTGTTATATCATTTAGTAATGAATGCAAATCTTGTGGGTTTAGCTGCAGATTTGTAGAGACTATATGATAATGGTGATGATAATGATAAGTGAAGAATGCTTTAAATGATTATACATCCAGCACTGTATAACCCTCTCAGTTTTAGCATTTAATTTGGTTACTCAGTATTATTATTATTATTATTATTATAATTATTATTATTATTTAAACGATTTTGCTATACATATTGGGAATTTAGGTATCTTTAGTAACCCCATGGTATGCACGGCATTTTGGGCATAATTAATGTTAATGGAGGGCTGTTTTGTAGAGGAATTGTTATACATGTGTGTGCATGCATGTATGTGTGTGTGTGTATGCATGTATGTATGTGTATGTAAGTTGAGATAAAAGAGTAGGTGACTCACGAAATCGTAATGACACGTTTGCAATCGTGTCATTACGATTTCGTGAGTCATGTTGACGGCAGTGAAGGGACTTGAGCTAGAGTTCGTTACTGCCACGCTAGCTGGAGATTCGTCAGTAAAAACTTGCATTTGTGGTCACAGTGGTGCCTGTGCTAACCTTCCTATGGTGTAGAAATATACCTAGTTGGACGAATCTTATTGTGGCTAGCTGGTCTAGTGGCTAACGTGACGGGCTGGAGTTTTGAGACTCTATGACCACGGGTTCAATCCCGGCCGAGGTATGGTTTATAAAGGAGTAGGGTTATTAATTTAGCTAAAAAAAATGTAGCTAAAAAAAAAGTGTCATGAAAGTGACATTGAGTGGTTGTAACTCAGAAAACTCATATTTCCTTTTAAGATAGTACATTTTAGATAAAAATACTGTAAAAAAAATAAAAATAATAATACAGTTGATTTTGTCAATGGCCAAGTTGGACGAAAGTGTCGTAAGCTTCTTTCTTTTATGTGGGGTTTTTTGTGATCGTTCCCCAGTCCGGTTTTGTCCCTTTTTTGTTTTTTTATGTACGTAACATGTTTAGTAAGAAAGCAAAATTTTAATTAAAAACTAATGATTGTTCTTTTTTAAAAGTAGAGCTGGTTTACAAAGGTTTCAGAAAAATTAAACAATGTGAAAACTTTTTTCCCAATTTAATTTCATTATACTTTTTAGATATAAAAATGAAATTGTAGGTTCGATTTTGTTCTGCGACACTCTTTTCAAGTTTTTACTTTCTTTAGGTAGATTGTCCCTATTTTGGGGATTAATGCACGAGTTTTTTTTAGATTCATTTGTTAAAAATGGGCTAGCAAGGAGCCATTTATTTTTATATATTGTGCCTTTGTGCTGTTATTGCTCTTCAGTAAAAGTTTCAGGTCCTTTACTATTATTGTCTACAGATATTTACAAATTATTTATGGGTCCCGGCAATGTTTTTAGAAGTGCTGCAGTGTATGAAGCTCCTTGAAGCTCGGTGTCAGACAGTGGCATCCCACATTGCTAATACGTACATGTATCATGTGTTCTTTTAAAACCCTGTTGGGGATTGCCTGTTGTATCAGTATTTAGGACCTTATAGACACAAGAGTGTAATGTAGCATGTATGATTTACCTGTATGTTCACTATGTAGAGGGCACGTTGTCTAGACATAAAATGTGCGATGGTTCTTATGACCGTTCTGTTGTGTGAAGATTGACGATATACACCCAATGTGTCTTGTTCCTGCAGATGCAAACACGTGTAAAACATGTTTCAAATTATTTTATTAATGTTAAGAATGTTTTATTACATTATACATTAATTACTGTGTCTGTCAGATTTCAGCAATGTGGTAAGCAAGAGTGATGTGAAGCTTCTTGCAGAAGCAGATGAACATGAAGTAGTGCGGGAGGTGCAAGAGCTGTATGCTGACTACCAAGCACTTTCCCCACATTTGTTCTCACTCAACATGCCCACACATAGTCTTGGTGAGTAGGGAGATAGTCATTAATGTATAATACAGGAATACCTTGCAGACATGGTTAATAGGTAACGAAAAAGTTCTGTGTTATGAAACGCATTGTTTAAAACATTATTATAATGTGTTTATTAAATACGTAGCCATTTACGTTTGTCAACGTCACAAGCTTCGATGTATTTCCTCTTCCCACTGATAATTGCATATAAAAAAGTACTCGTGTAATATTTTGTATAAAAAAGTTCTTGTATGTAATAAAAGATAAAAAAAAATATGGCTTGCTAAAAAAATTTAATTGTTAAGAACTTTAAAACTGTAAACTGTGCTATAGCAAAACCCGCACTGTTCAGAACCATGTTCTGCAAGGTATTTCTGTACTGTATAGTATTTAACAAGATATGATAAGCAAGCCACCACTCACACACTATAGCATTTTCTTGTGAGGATAAGTGTATACTAAGTGGTAGTGAGGCTATTTCACAATTAGTAGACAGAGGATCAAGCCTCCACAGTTCCTTGGTAGATGGTATTACATTTCTTGATAATGTGATTGATATCTTGTATTATAATATTGTTTGGAATTTTTACTCTTTTTACCGTGGTTAAATTGCACATGCAGCATTGTATTTTGTTGAAAAAAATGATAAGGGTTAATTGGGTTATAGCATAGGTGTTCTTTCAGATGACACTGGGTTGATTCTTTTACATGACAATATTTTGGCCCTTATTTGGTGAGTATTACAATATTATATACAGTGGACCCTCGACCAACGATATTAATCCGTTCCTGAGAGCTCATCATTAACCCTTTCAGGGTCCGTCCCGTAGATCTACGGCTTTACGTTCAGGGTCCAAACCGTAGATCTACGCCATGAGCTCAGCTCACTCTGATAAACTGTGAGTGGTACATTTGGGCCTAGATATGAGAGAATACATCTATGTGGTATGTGTGCACCACATAAAACAGATCCTGCAGCACACTGTGTATAATGAGAGAAAAAAAATGAAATCATGATTTTTTGATTAAAACAGCAACTTTGGAGTGTTTTTTCGTATGTTTTTTATAGTTGTATTTACGATTTCTTGGTCTCATTTGATAGAATGGAAGACATATTATAGAAATAGAGATGATTTTGATTGGTTTTAGCACTGGAAATGGCTTGAAACTGAGCTCAAAGTAGCGGAAATGTTAAATTTTTGCCGATATTCAAGAGTAAACAAACGACCTCACACATCTAATACACGTCAGCTGGTGGGTCTAATATACATTCACAAATATGGTGATGATATTTATACAATTATTACAGTATTGCATAACAGTAAATCTTCTATTTTTTGGTGTGAATAAAAATTCATTATGTGAATAAAAAATCAAAATGGAATTTATTTGTAAAGCCTCAAAACATAACTAATGAACAGAGGAAATGTTAGTTTAGTGCCAGGAATGCCTACATTGTTCATTCTGGACCCTATTTTGAAATTGGAATATTTTGAACTTTGTGTTAAATTGGCCAAATTAACAATTTCCGATCACTTTATTTTGTAGTTGAAACAGTTGACTTGGCGATTTCTTGTGCTCAATCGATAGAATAGAAGTAATACTAGTGAAATAGCTAAGAATTTGGTTGATTGGAATAATGTAATTGGCGTAAAATGGGAGTCAAAGTCGGCAAAATCGCCGATTCGTAAATATCGCTGACACATCAAAATTCGCGAGAGCATAATTTCGTCAATTTTCCACCAAATTTCGTACTTTTTGTTTTATTACCTTCACAAAAAGATTCTCTACGATTTCATAAGAAAAAATAACAAATTTTTTTTTTGAAAATTCTTGGACACTGGTGCGTGACTCCAGATTTGGGCCTTGGACCCTGAAAGGGTTAATCGAAATTATCGTTAGTCGAGTTAATTTTCCCCATAAGAAATAATGGAAATCAAATTAATCTGTGCAAGACACCCAAAAGTATTGAAAAAAAAAAATTTTACCACATGAAATATTAATTTTAATACACACAAACTGAAGATGACATGTACAATTACATGACACTTACCTTTATTGAAGATCTGGTGATGACTGATGGGATGGGAGGAGGGGAGACTGTGGATGGTGTTAGCATTTAGAAGGGGAATCCCCTTCCATTAGGACTTGAGGTGTCAAGTCCTTTTCTGGGGTTACTTCCCTTCTTCTTTAATGCCACTAGGACCAGCTTGAGTCACTGGACCTCTGTTGCACAACATATCTGTCCATAGAGGCCTGTACCTCCCGTTCCTTTATGACATTCCTAAGTGTTTCACAACATTGTCAGTGTCACAATTAGCCACTTGTTCAGGTTTCAATTCTTCACTGTCTATGTACTCCTTGAATTCCTGCACATATTTTTCAACTGCTTTTTGGTCCAAACTGGCAGCCTCCCCATGCCTTATCACACATGTATGCCACTATGATTCTTAAATCTCTCAAACCAACCTTTGCTGGCCTTAAATTCACTCACATCACTACTAGTTGCAGGCATTTTTCTAATTAAATCCTCATGCAACTTCCTAGCCTTTTCACATATGATCGCTTGAGAAATGCTATCTCCTGCTATCTGTTTTTCGCTTATCCACACCAATAACAGTCTCTCAGCATCTTCTATCGCTTGCGATCTCAGTTTCGAAAACATAGTTGCACCTTTGGCAAGAACAGCTTCCTTGATTGCTGTTTTCTTGGCCACAATAGTAGCAATCGTTGATTGTGGTTTGGTGTACAACCTGGCCAGCTCGGAGACACACACTCCACTTTCATAGCAATGATCTCTTTCTTCATATCCATAGTAATTCTCACCCTTTTTGCTGTAGGGTTGGCACTAGAAACTTTCTTGGGGCCCATGGTGACTTATTTTGCAGGTGCAATCACTAAAAGCGCTGTGATAATATGAAATGTTCCGATTGCATGTTTGGATGGGACCGCAGTGGCTGGCTGGCTTGTAAACACTGGCCACAAGTGGACTCATCTCAGACAGAACGAATCGTGTTGGTCGAGTTTTTTAGCGCTAGTCGAGGCAAAATTTTTGCGTTAAAATGTATCACTAGTCAGATTTAACGTTAGACGATGCCATCGTTGGTCGAGGGTCCACTGTACTTGCAAATAGCTATTGCATAAGTTATAAGTCTTAAAATGTGTACCTTGGCAGGTTTTTACACAATCTCGTATAACAGTACTACATAGTGTAACAGTACATACTAGTTACTAGTATTTTTCAGATTTATTGTTTGTCTAAAAATACATCTCCAGATACTTTTTTTTTTTGTGTGTTCTTTTTCTAGGCTTGAAATGGGCAGGAGGAGCTTTACAACGAACAGTTCAAGGCTTGGCAGCTGTGTTGTTTAGCTTACAATTCCTTCCGTCCATCCGGTATCAGAACAACTCGGAAATGGCTCGCTGTCTTGCAGAGAATATTCGGGTAAGATTGTTATTTTCATATACATACCATGATACACTGTATAATATCTGTACTGGTATTATATATTTTAATATGGAGAGAAATATTACTAATTACAAAAAGATGAATATAATAGAACTTAGTTTAAAGGTAGAGACAACATTGTACGATACATGTATCTTCCAGTCCCATTTTCATAAACTATTTTCATTAGTATTTTAACTGTGTTGCAAGAATTCTTATAAAATCTCTAATTATAATATTGACTTGCAGCAAACGATTCTAACAGAGAGCTCCTTGTATAATAGCACTGAGGCTGAAGGCAATACACTGCTTCTTATCCTTGATCGCAGAGATGACCCTGTCACACCACTCCTCCATCAGGTAAATTAAACTGTATAAAAATGTAATACAGTAATGATTCACTATAGCATAAAATTGACCTATCCCTCCTTCAGAGTACAGGCACTGTACTTCCCACCCTCTTGACTCTAGTCTAGCTAACCATTTGATCCGAATCCCTTTATAAATATTATATAAAAAGTAATTTTTTTGAGTAATAAGAAATACAGAATATTCATCCACCAAATCTCTTCCTTGCACTTATTTATTAAAGAAATTTAATTCCTCTAAATTCCCTCATGTTTTCCTAGAATTTTTACGTTCTTCAATACCTAATTGCGCATACAGCAATTTCATCATCATCTGACTTATTTGCCTTTAATTTACTTTGTAAATTAAAATTTTCACTGCTTTATGTTATGGCATGCATCTTTTATTTGTTAATGCAGTGGACATATGAAGCAATGGTGCATGAGCTCCTTGGTGTTAACAGCAGTCGAGTGAGTCTGGCCCATGTGTCTGGTGTGTCTGATGACTTGAAAGAAGTTGTCATGTCACCTTCCCAAGATGAATTTTATGCCAGAGTAAGTACATTTTTGTTGTTCTGTGCTACTTAAAGTTAAATTATTTTAAATTAACCACTGTTTTTACTCTTTGGTAACAAATTGTTATAGATTTTACACTACACCCTGAGGTTATATTGTTTACTTATGAAAATACAGTTCATTAATTGCTTGATATTACTATTATTTTTTTTATTAACACTTTGGCTGTTTCCCACCAAGGCAGGGTGGCCTGAAAAAGACAAACTTTCATCATCATTAACTCCATCACTGTCTTGCCAGAGGCATGCCTACACTACAGTTATAAAACTGCAACATTAACACCCCTCCTTCAGAGTGCAGACACTGTACTTCCCATCTCCAGGACTCGAGTCCGGCCTGCCGGACTTGAGTGCTGGAGTCAGTTTTCATGTCCACTTGTTGCCATTTTAGATACAGTATTTAAAAACCTTTTACTCCCTGTTGGAAGGGAAGCAGCTATGCAAAAAAAACCTCATCAGGGGCCCTGCAACCAAATTATAATTTAATAAATAACACAAGATTGTTAGTTTTTAGAAATGCATTAGTTACCTTGAAATTAATATTTATATTTTTTATGATCACATTGGTTGATGATTTCCTGTGTATTATTAGTCTTATGCTCAGTTTCCCTGGAATCCCTTCATGCTCACACTTCAACAACTTATCCATTAAAAGCCACTTGTCTCCATTCACTCCCATCTAACATGCTTACAAAACTCTGTTGGATGCTCAAACCCCTATAGCTCAAAGCCTCCTTTAATCCCCCCTCTATCCAATTATTTCTGGGATGACCCACTACCTCTCCTATCTTCCACCTCGGATGCCCTCAACATGTTGATGCCTGCAACATTCTCTCCTCAGCCATCTGAATTATACACCTTAATGACCTCACATTTCCTCTATATTTTTCAAGTAAATTTAATTAATTTATGCTAAAAAGATTTATAGAAGCAACATTAATGTGCTTTCAATGTTAGAGCAAGACATGCACACAGGATGATAATGATGCAAGTGCTTGTGTAGGTCTTCTTTCTTTCAACACACTGGCTGTATCCCATCGAGGCGGGGTGGCCCAAAAGGAAAAACGAGTTTCTCCTTTCAAATTTAGTAATATATACAAGAGAAGGGGTTACTAGCCCCTTGCTCCCGGCATTTTAGTCGCCTCTTACAACATGCATGGCTTATGGAGGAAGAATTCTGTTCCACTTCCCCATGGAGATAAGAGGAAATAAACAAGAACTAGAACTAGAAAGAAAATAGAAGAAAACCCGGAGGGGTATGTATATATACGCTTGTATATGTATGTGTAGTGTGACCTAAGTGTAAGTAGAAGTAGCAAGACATACCTGAAATCTTGCATGTTCATGAGACAGAAAAAAGGACACCAGCAATCCTACCATCATGTAAAACAATTACAGGCTTTCGTTTTACACTCACTTGGCAGGACGGTAGTACCTCCCTGGGCGGTTGCTGTCTACTAACCTACTACCAATACTTGTGTAGGTACTGTATAATCAAAATTATAATTATTTTTCTTGCATGTCATTTTGTGGTGTAAATACTGTATGCAGAGAATGTGAAATGTTCAAATTTGAAGACAGAGGGGGGGGGGGTTACAAACCTAATTCAGGGGGCTAAGGAGGGGTTGTTTAGGCGGTTTGGGCATTTAAAGAAGACGGAGCAGAATAGGATGAACAACAGGGTGTATAAATCTTAAGTGAAAGGAAGAAAGGGTAGGGATTGTACCAGGAATATTTGGAGGGAGGGGTAAAGGAGGCTTTGAGTGCTAGGGGTTTAAGTATCCAGTAGAGTTAGATAGGAGTAAGTGGCAATAAATGATTTTTATGGCTAGACATGCTATTGGAGTGTGAGCAAGTTAATATTTATGAAGAGATGCAGGGAAACCAGAAAGCTGGTCGAGAGTACAGTATATCCTGTATTATCCCTGCATTCTTAAGGAGTGGTGAGAATGTTGCAGTTCAAAGGGTAATTTGAAGGGTGTTTGAGATAGAGGATATCAAATACTATCATAATTCATAAGATCAGTTATATAGTGATTGAAATGTTCTTTGCATATAACTGAAAATAATCTAAAATTTTCTAATTTTTGTTTATTGTATACTATATACATTTCTTGGGAGCAAGGGGCTAGTAACCCCTTCTCCTGTATATATTACTAAATGTAAAAGGAGAAACTTTCGTTTTTCCTTTTGGGCCACCCCGCCTCGGTGGGATACAGCCAGTGTGTTGAAAGAAAGATATACATTTCTAAGTGAGACAGTATGAAGTTGGCATACTGGTTCTTAATTAAAAACTGCATTTACAGAGTATGTACCTGAATTATGGTGAAATTGGACAGACCATTAAGAATCTGATGGAGGAGTATCAAAAGAGACTGTCCAAACAGCAGAAAGTGGAATCCATAAGTGACATGAAGAATTTTGTGGAGAGTTACCCACAGTTCAAGGTGAGTATTTAGTAAATATAACCCCTAGTACCCTGTGAGAATTTATACTTGCTTAAGATTACAAATAATATTTTGCAGTGTATAATGATCAGTTTGTGGGAAGCAATATTAGTGTTATATAGCTGCAGTTTTGCATGAAACTCTGTGTACTATAACCATCACAACTACAACTAAAATTATTTTGTGCTTATATTACATGTGCTGATGTACAGTATCATAAATTTATGAAAAAGTTTGACTGTTCTAACATTTGACTGTTGTCTGAACAGAAAATGTCTGGAACAGTGAGTAAGCATGTGACAGTGGTGGGAGAGTTGTCACGTCTGGTGGGTAACCACGGTCTCCTGCAGTTATCCGAGTGTCAACAGGAACTTGTTTGCGGATCTGATCACAACGTAAATCTTCAGGTATATCTATTTAATTTACTTTTATTCTTAAGTAGATTTATATGGTGTATAAAAAAAATTGAGTCCTGGAAATGGGAAGTACAATGCCTGCACTTTAAAGGAGGGGTTTGGGATATTGGCAGTTTGGAGGGATATGTTGTGTGTCTTTATATGTGTATGCTTCTGGACTGTTGTATTCTGAGCACCTCTGCAAAAACAGTGATAATGTGCGAGTGTGGTGAAAGTGTTGAATGATGATGAAAGTATTTTCTTTTTGGGGATTTTCTTTCTTTTTTTTGGGTCACCCTGCCTCGGTGGGAAACGGCCGACTTGTTGAAAAAAAAAAATAAATAAAAAAAATGGCTTCCTTTAATTTTATCAAGAGAAAGCATACTATAAATGAAACTATAGACTTGCCCAAAATGTTGTGTATTGTGGGTCTTGCAAGAAATGTGAAGTATTATTGTTCTATATCGATACCTAATATATAATATGGACTGTATTTTTCATGGAGAATAAGCTTTTTTACTATATCAGGACAACCTTGTCTCAAGATGAAAGGCTACTGACAAACAAACTTTATTTCTAGACAGTGGAGTGTAGTATATTATGCAATTAGGGTGACTGACATATATAAACTATAGAAGGCCCCTTATTAACCAGGGCATTTCAAGCAGTTTGAATGAATGAATAAATTGGTAAATGAATAATAATAAGCATGCATACACATGGGTAGTAATTGTTTTTATCAAGCTTGAAGGAAGAGTGCTTTCTTGGTTTGTTTATTTGGGGCAGAGGAAGCCATATGTTGGGAAAATTGAATTCCCTTCTACTTCTTTTATAGGGATACTTTTATGCAGAAAATTCAGAGTGTGGAAATTAGGAGGTGTGGAGTTAATAAAAGTATTAGTCAGAGGGCTGAAGAGGGGTTGTTGAGGTGGTTTGGTCATTTAGAGAGAATGGATCAAAGTAGAATGACATGGAGAGCGTATAAATCTGTAGGGGAAGGAAGGCGGGGTAGGGGTCGTCCTCGAAAAGGTTGGAGGGAGGGGGTAAAGGAGGTTTTGTGGGCAAGGGACTTGGACTTCCAGCAAGCGTGCGTGAGCGTGTTAGATAGGAGTGACTGGAGATGAATGGTATTTGGGACCTGACGATCTGTTGGAGTGTGAGCAGGGTAATATTTAGTGAAGGGATTCAGGGAAACCGGTTATTTTTATATAGCCGGACTTGAGTTCTGGAAATGGGAAGTACAGTGCCTGCACTCTAAAGGAGGGGTTTGGGATATTAGCAGTTTGGAGGGATATGTTGTGTATCTTTATAGGTATATGCTTCTAAACTGTTGTGTCCTGAGCACCTCTGCAAAAACAGTGATTATGTGTGAGGTGAAAGTGTTGAATGATGATGAAAGTACGGATTTTCTTTTTGGGGAATTTCTTTCTTTTTTGGGTCACCCTGCCTCGGTGGGAGACGGCCGACTTGTTAAAAAAAAAAAAAAAACTTTTATGGAAGTCACTACAATATACCTAATGGAAGATTTTGGCATCAACATTTATTAGTGAAAGGTTTCAGCAAAACTTTTACTGCTGCAGTTCTGTGCAAAGCATTTCAGTTAAATATGATTAGGTATAACCTGAGTATTATATTTTTATGGATTAGAGCTAAACTAGTAGGGGTCATACAGTGCCCGAGTAGATATACTGCATGCTATGATTCATATTTGAGTAGATGATGAGAAACATTTACATTTATCTTTTATTGACAGAGGATATATCAGCTAGTGACAGATCCTAAAGTCAGGGAGCTGGATGCTGTAGTTCTGGTGATGCTTTATGCTCTCAGGCATGAAGGTCACCCTAACAATGACACACGAGGGCTTGTAAATGCACTTAAGAAGAGGAATGTTATAGACCGTTACTTAAAGGTGAGTCTGAAGTTAATCCCTGATTATGCATTAACAAAAGTAGCAACCTATTGGAGGACAGCCAACCTGCAGTAAGGATAAAGTAACTAGAAGTAGCTACTTGAAGTTGTATTTCTAATATACTATCCTGGTTTTGTACCTGGAATAGCTTTTCTAATTTAACCATGTATTCCAGTGTATCTGTTGCTTATTTACTTCTTAATGAATTTTACCAGTCGCCTCAAATTTATTGATGATATTATTTCTAGTGGCAAGACGGCCAACTTGTTTAAAAAAAAAAATGTATATTGCAAAGAGAAAGCATGACTCTGGCCTTTTATCATGTGAGGATGATTACCTATTTGTGATTGCCTTTTTTTCTGTAGGTATAGAAGCAAATCTAAACTCATTACTAATCTTCAGTATTTATAGTTTATTTGTAGTTTTTAAAGTTTCCAGTGGTTGTAGCACTTAGTATAGTGTCTTCACTTGTTAAACATTCTGTTGGTCTATTACTCTGTTTGCAAATTAAAACTTTCTAGCCTGTATATGTCTAGTGTATGCTTTTGTGCAAGTGTGTTTGTCAGATAAATTTGTTTTTGTTCTACTAATTTGTTTATTCACTTTATAAGGACATTGTTTACAGTTGTTGTCATCTTTAATGGACTTTGGAGGAGCAAGAGCCCGTCAGAGTGACTTGTTTGGCACCCAGGTTCCACAAGATGTGTCTACAATTAAGAAGCGTCTCTTCAAAGTCAGTACTGTTCATATGTTAAAACCTTCATATTTACTAAAAACTTATATGAAGTGTAGCTTTACCAGTTTAGTATTACTGTACTAAATCATTTTCTGTATCATTACTAAGATGTTACAGCTTCAGTTTTTATACTATTATTGTTCTCTTATTCTTTTTTTTCACTATTTTTAGCTCTTCTTATTGCTTCTTTTCATATGCAGTATTTTCTCACTCATATAAAGATGAAACTTTTGTCTTAGCAAGTTTCTGTTGTTTTGATTAATCTTGTAGAAAATCAACATGCAAAATTCACAAATAAACAGTAACTTGAAATATTTTTTAGCCAACTGGTACTGATATACAGCACTGACTTTGTGTATATAGTACTTGAGGACATACTTGGATTTATGGCATCCTTTAGATATAATAAAAGCTATTTTTTTTTTATCCCTCTATCATTACAGGGATTGAAGGGTGTAGATAATGTGTATACTCAGCACAAGCCTCTGCTGCTAGAGACACTAATGGAGCTGATGAGGGGCCGTTTACGTGAGGGAGCTTTTCCCTACTGTGGCAACCCAACCTCCTCAGTAGTAGCCAGGTCTGAGTATATAAGACAAATTACTCAATGAGTACTGTAGATATTGTCACTGTTTCAAATAAGGTATTTTATCACCAGTTGATTTTGTTAAGGTGACCTATACTGTTTCAATTATTGTTATTATTGGAAGGGATTAGGTCCTAGTCATATACAGGAGATTGAGCAACTGCTGTGAAGATGATATTTCTCCCTACAATAAAGGCAGTTATATCATCCTCTCAGTAACAAAGGTCTCTATTGTATTTTGCTGTTTACTAACCTCCTGTATACAAATATCATTTAAGTATATTTGATAACACTTCTCATACTCAACAGACCCCAGAATGTAGTTGTGTTCATCGTGGGAGGAGCAACATATGAAGAATCTGTTGCAGTTCACCAGTTCAACACCAACAATCCTGGAGTACATGTCATTTTAGGAGGTTCCACCATACACAATTCCTCCACTTTCTTAGATTCTATGGAGTCAGCAATGGAAGGTATTCCACGTAAAACTCTTAGAATATAAACATCTTATATATTCATGAAGCTTGGTCTGTTAAATTATTGCAGGTCAGTCTGACAAGGGATATTTTTAAAGTTTAGGTATGTATAACTATATGTATGATTTTAAGCCTTGATCAACAAATATTAATATGTTAGATAAAAGGACACATGTGCAGCTAATGCAACATTTTATTGTGGCAACATTTTGCTGTCCAGGAGCTGCTCAAGCTCCCAGAGTGAAATGATGCCACAGAATAATGTTGCATTAGTTGCACATGTGTCCTTGTACTTAACATATTGTTGGTAATTCTACCAACATTATTACAAATATCAGCATAACATTTCACATGAGCATATTATAACTATCAATCTTAATTTCTTGCAGGTATATTATAACAGTGTTGATTCAAAGGTACCTTAACCTTACTCATGTTAGATTAAGGTGCATTAAATTATGTATGTATAATAAAGTTGGTTGAGGTTGTTAGTTTAGTTATAGTGAATTAATAACATGTTTATTGGTGTGGCCACATTGATCATACCAGTTGCATTGCTTAAGAGAACAAAACAAAACTTTCCAATTTTTTAACTATTCCTATTGATGATATATGCTGCAATCATATATATTTATATAAATGTTATTCTTTTGAATGATGAAGCCTGTAAAGTTTCAAGTATGCTAGAAAATGTTTTTAAGGTATTAGTTTTTATAATGAAACATGCATCTGCACTTCTATATACACAACTTTAATGTACACTCTGGCCGTCTCCCACCAAGGCAGGGTGACCCGAAAAAGGAACACTTTCACCATCATTCACACTATCACTGTCTTGCCAAAGGAGTGGAAAAAAACCTTCTTTTTTAGTAAATTATGCTACATAATCAAAGTGCTGTTGTGACTTGATGGATTGAGGGAAAACCCACATGTAGACAGAAGTAAAATGTAAATAAGAGGCTGTATATTTCAGTCTCTGTCTGGTATCTTAAGTAGTCATTGCTGAAGATTATCTCAGACAGGCGAGTTCTCTTTTGTGTTTCATTATGTTTCTGTCTACTTGTGGGGTTTCCTGAATACGTAGTTAATTGTTACTATTTTTCCTAGCTGAATGAAAATCCCTTGGTGTGCAACAACTAGGCTTAGCTAAACATTCCTTAAATACATGAAAGCCAAAAATTTTTTGTAAGTGCTGTACACAATGTTACCAATGAACTGTTGTGATAAATTTAAAAAAAAAATACAAAATGAGAGACTCGCTAAAATCAAAGTACAGTACATATTTGTCTTTCTTTCAACTGATGCTTTTACTCGAGTACTGGTAAAACTACAAATTCATTAACAGACATAAATGGAGGTGCGCACAAACAAAATTAAGTAAATATATTATTTAAGTTTTACACAAGTACAAACAATAACATTTTTCCCTTGTGTAATAGTGTGATCAAATTTAGCGAGTTTCTAAACTTGTATGTAATTACTTATGTGTGTAGTATTGGATTTTTGTTTTAATGGCATGTACAGGTATAATATGGATATGAAGGTGCAGTGTTCATATATAGAATACTTTCTGTTGGCTGTGTATTCCAGCCTCACTGTAATGTGACTGTACATATTTATGAAAATAAATTAAACAAGTATTTAATGTTTTTTTAATTTCCACCAAGTACAGTGGACCCCCACCTTACGATATTAATCCGTTCCTGAGAGCTCATCGTAAGCCGAAATTATCGTTAGCCGAATTAATTTTCCCATAAGAAATAATGGAAATGAAGAAGACATGCACAATTACTACTCTACTAAGAATAGAATACATGACACTTACCTTTATTGAAGATCTGGTGATGATTGATGGGATGGGTGGAGGGGAGAGTGTGGAAGTTATTGTTTAGAAGGGGAATCCCCTTCCATTAGGACTTGAGATAGCAAGTCCTTTTCTGGGGTTACTTCTCTTCTTCTGTTAATGCCACTAGGACCAGCTTTAGAGCCACTGGACCTCTGTCGCACAAATCTGTCCATAGAGCTCTGTACCTCCTGTTCCTTTAAGACTTTCCTAAAATGGGCTATAACATTGTCACTGTACAGGCTGCCAACATGGCTTGCAGTAGCTGTGTCAGGGTGATTTTCATCCGCAAAGGTTTGCAATTCAACCCACTTTGGACACATTTCCTTAATCTCTTTTTTCAATTCCATACTAATTCTCTCCCTTTTTACCACAGGGATGGCACCAGAAGCTTTCTTGGGGTCCATGGTGACTTATTTTGCAGTTACAAGCACTAAAAACACTGGGATAATGTGAAATGTACCAAATGTATGCATAGATGCAACCACACTGGCTGGCTTGTAAACACTGGCACTGAGGCCACACGTGGGATGCGTCCCGGACGAATCATGTAAGGCAAGTTTTTTATCGTGAGGCGAGGCAAAATTTTTGCATTCAAATGCTTCATATGGTGGATTTAACGTAACGCGATGCGTTTGTAAGGCGGGGGTCCACTGTAATTCAAAAGTTTTGATGCAATTGCTTTATCTCGATCAGTGGCACAGCCAGGAATTTAATCTGGGGACTTAAAATTACAATATGCTGAAAAAATCAAAGAAATCATCTATAAAATGCCTGACTTTCAGTATGTATGTGAAATTTCTTGACCTATCGTGCTTTGTAGCCCCTATAATAGTGGTAAATAGCCACTGATAGGAGATGTATTGAACAATTGCTCCAATTTCATTATTATTATATTCATGGGAGAGAAGCAATAAACCTGTAAGGGGTCAAACAGCTCCTTAGAGAATAGGAGAACATTCAGGTTCAATGCAAGTAAGGTAGGAGCAGATGCAATTCCTTAGATAAAGAGCCTCTCACCAGCATCAAGGAACCTTCCTTGAGGGGTACCATAATTTCAGAAAATACTGTTATTTTATAATCTAAATTAAATGTACACTGAAGAGGAGCATCCATATTAGGAGCTAACCCCAGTATAGGCCCACTTCCAAGGTTGACATAAATTGCCTTGCAAAGTTTTGATAGTAATACAAGGTCGATAGATTTTGGGGGCAATTTTTGACATTGTAACCCATGATATATAATCACATTCACAAGACAGTGCTACACCCAATGGGTTGTACATAACACTATGTCAGAGAAAATTTGGATAATGCAACAAAATTGGTCTATTTGCAAGGCCAACAATGTACTCGTGTTACTAAGAGAAAGTTATGGAGATAAAGACCCAAGTTGCTTGTAATCTCCATCCAACCATCATAATGACAGAGCAGATTGGTTCATCAGTGGTTTCTTACAAGAGCAATTCCAACCTGGAGGTACTGATTGCTTGCACATTATCACAAAAGCCACTTCACCTAAATGAGAACTGTAAAGGTTTCCAGGAAATGGTTAAATAACTGCAGACAGTATTATATTTTTCTCACTACCATTGCCTTTGACACTGCTCACCTTAATTCACAAATTCATTATGCTAAACTAAAGAACAAACTTTAATGTCTAATCTCAGATAGCCCTTGGTCTAAATTTTCCCTTACTGACTGTTACTAATCTGTCTTTTGTCACAGTTTCTCAACATCAGCTTGAATTTATATTTATGGATAACGGTGACCCCTGATGGGCTTTTCAGTGCTGCACAGTAAAGGTGAAAGAGATGGTACAGAGAAGGGATATTGAGAGAAGGACATTGGCAGAATAGGAAATGAAGATCACTGTCAATGTATTTTGGTGTCAGTTAAGAAATCATATAGTGAGTCTACATTAAAGGTAGGGCTGTCAGAGACAATTACAGTGGACCCCCGGTTTACGATCAGCTCCCAATGCGACCAATTATGTAAGTGTATTTATGTAAGTGCGTTTGTATGTGTATGTTTGGGGGTCTGAAATGGACTAATCTAATTTACAATATTCCTTATGGGAGCAAATTCGGTCAGTACTGGCACCTGAACATACTTCTGGAATGAAATAATATCGTAAACCGGTGGTCCACTGTATTACTACATTCATGGGGAACACTAAACCCATAGGAATCATACAGTACCTGAGGATATGGGAGGCAATAAATTTTGATCCAGGGAAAGGTAGGTCATGCCCAATTTTTTGTTTTAAGAGCCACCTCACTTGCATCACCATCTTTAGGAGCTCTTGGAGAGAAGGACAGGCAAAGTAAGCGTATCAGCACTTCAAAATAAATTTTGGGGACACTGTCATACACATTGAAACCATATCCACTTGCTCATTCATTGTTGCTTCAGACATCCATAGTGTATTGTAGTCTATCCAGACACTTTAAATCTCAATATCCCATCATACTTCATATACAGTACAGTAATAATGCTGCATTACTTATAAGAAAGAAGAAATTTTTTTGCTGGGCCTCTGGATGCACTGATGTTCAGGGCACCGAACACAGCCTCAATTCAATCTGCTATTTGTAACCTTTTGATCTTCAACTGGGATTCCCTTTCCTGCACTATTTTCCAATACTTTCATCAACTTGAAATCTACTGGCAATAATATTAGTCTTGAGTTAGAGCACAACAAATTACTTTTCATCAAACAGCAATTATGTTCCTGGTCATTTTCTTTCCATCATGGATGGGTATGAGAAACTGCTCTCTGGTGATTATCAGTCACAACTCACACATGGATACTGCATGGAAATATGATTGGCACCTCTGTGAGAATTGCCAGGTAAAGCTATAGGTTAACTATATCTTTATAGAATATTCTATATAGGAAACAGTGCTAAATGACCCTTATGAGTTTAGTGCTTAGTTATGATTATAATAATAATCTATCAAGCAGAGAGCAAACAGAATTCACTTTCAATATCTGCAGTACCATGATGCAGTCTAAGTGACCTCCTCAACGAAGTTCCACCTTAAGTGCAGACTCATTCTTTGACTTTTTAACATAAACAATCCATAGTATTTACACCAACACTGAAATTAATTTTGCACCTGCACTAAACCCCATCGTCACTAACTCCTATTCTTATACCCCACACCACAGTACTGTGTGACTCATACAGGTTTAGCACTTGTTTAATGATGTCACTTTCGATGAGTCATTCTATTTACTTTGTAATCGACTAGTATTTTACCTATTCAGTACAATCTGTATTTATATTTATATATCCCTTCACAGGGGCATGCCTTGATGCCACTGATGGATTCTTGATCCAAGGAATTGGACCTATCATCCCCTTATTACCTCCCATTTTCTAGGCACTGTATGGCTCATATAATTGGTTGGTTGATTGGATTTAAGCCTGTTGACTACTCAAAAGGTCATCAAGGCTCAACGTAACCTGTTTGCCACAGGTCAAGTATCCTTTAATCCCTTATATGTGTAGGGATTAAAGTAAACACTGAAAAAGAAACACTTTCACCATCATTAACACTATCACTGTCCTGCCAGAGGAGCACAGATACGACAGTTCAGACGTCCCTCAAAACATCAAATATTCCCACCCCTCCTTCAGAGAGCAGGCACTGTACTTCCCACCTTCAGGACTCGAGTTTGGCTAACCAGTTTTCCTAAATCCCTTCACAAAACATTACCTTGCTCATACTCTATCAGCTTGTCAGGTCCCAAAAACTATTTACCTCCACTCCTATCTAACATACTTGCACATGCCTTCTGTATATCCAAACCCTTTCCACTCAAAATCCTCCTCCTGTATATATTACTAAAAATAAGAATATATATTATATATATATATATATATATATATATATATATATATATATATATACACACACAAAATAGGATGACTTGAAATCTGCAGTGAAGGGAAGGAAAGGGTAGGTATCCAACTAGGAAAGGATGGAGGGGGGATAAAAGAGGTTTTGTGTGCAAGGGGCTTGGACATATAGCAGGCATATGTGAGGATGTTAGATAGAAGTGGAGACAAATGGTTTTTGGGACTTGAAGAGCTGGCCAGGGAGGTATACCATCTTTTGGGAGTGAAGAAGCAGGATGTGAGTGTGGGGGAGGTGCGTGAGGTGCGTGTTTGTGCATATTTCGCCTGCTCTTGCGAATTCCTTGCATATATATATATATATATATATATATATATATATATATATATATATATATATATATATATATATATATATATATATATATAATATATATATATATATATATATATATATATATATATAAAATAAAAAAAATTTAATTTTATACACGCCACACCTTTTGGATTAAAAACTATTTTATTTTAATTGTCTATATGAATAAATGTTTCAGTATCTATATAGATTAGCACGTTAATGTGAATATAATAGTTATTTATATATGAATGATGCCTTTCCTTTATTTTCCCTTTATGAGATGGGGGAGGTAAGTGTTTGGATGATAAATTTCTCATGATTCGAGGAATCAGATATATCTTTCGGAAATAAGTTTCTTCGATTTTTTTTTTTTTTTGGGGGGGGGTTATAGGCGATTTACGCTATGTACGCGTGTACTTATGTATACCTGTGCCTAAATAAATTTTCTCTTTCTGGGAGCAGACCTGATTACCTCCCATTCTCCAGCGTTATATTACAAGTGCAAGTTAAGAGCTTTCTTGATTATAATAATAATTATACATGAAAGGGACCCATTATTTTATTTTATAGAAGGGGTGT